ATCTCAACACCACCTCTTCCAGAGGAAAGTCATGAGGAGTGATGTTAGCAAGAGAGCAGACAGAAAAACCTAGGCACTGATAACCCTGCAAACAGACCAAGTTCACAAGAACATAAAAACAAAGAATCCGTGGTGAAAATTCTGAAATCCAGGTAAGAAGCTGCAGCACTGAAACAAATGCCTACCCCAAAAACACTGAGCAAAAGTTATAGGAAAGTTTAAGGCAATTTGGTTGTGTTCTACCCCTTCCTTCCCAGCACACTGCAGTGAGCTAGAACAGAAGAGTGTTTCTCAATTCCACACTCTTCTCTTGGAGGAAATTCAAATGTAAACCACAGTGAGATATCACCTCCCACCCCTTAGACGGACTGTCCTCAAAGAGAGCAGAGGTAAAAAGTGTAGGCAAGATGGTTGAAAATGTCAATCCTAGCACACTGTTGTTGGGAATTTATATTGGTGAAGCCACTAGGGAAAACAAGTTAAAGGTTCCATAAAATATTTTGAAAAGGAAAACCATTTGATGAGGACATCCCAGTTCAGGAAATATATATATAAAAAATAGAATCGCTACCTCAAAAAAAAAATCCATGTTTATTGGAGAAATATTTACAAAAGCTAATAAACAAAAACAACCTAAATGTTTAACAGGTGAGTGGATAAGTAACATTTTGTATATAACAAATTATATAGGAATATTTATTACTCATACATACAAAAAACACATTGCCTTTTGTATCAACATACATGAACCATGAGGGCACTATGTTAAGTGAAATAAAGCAGAGGTAGGAAAAAATGTATAATTGCTCTCATATATCATACATGTGTAATCTAAAATAAGAAAGCCTAGGGGGTTCTGGTCAAGATAGCAGTGTAAACACTATACTCAAATCCTCCCACAAACACATCAAATTACAACTAAACTACAGAACAATCCTCATTCAGAACTGCCTGAAATCTTGCTGAACAGAAATCCTCATAACTAAGTATACAAAAAAAGCCACACTGAGACTGGTCGAAGGGGCAGAGATAAGAAAAGGGCTGGTCCCACACCCACATGTGGTGGTTAAATTAAAACCAGGAAAAATAAGTTGGCTGCAGACATCCCCACTAAGGAGTGAGAGGTCCTAGCCCCACACCAGAACCCCTTGCCCAGAATTCCAGGGCTAGGAAGACAAGTCCCCATTACTTCTGGCTGTAGGAAACAGTGAGGTTTTTTGGTTGGGTGTCAAAGTGGATGCCTGCAGTCCCATGTGTTTCTATTAAAGGGCCTGAGCATGGGCTTACATGGCCTCACTTGCTCTGAGCTCCAATACTGTGGCAGCAACCAGCCATAACAAAAAGGAACTAACTGAGTTTTCTGGCTTTGAGGCGAGACATGGAGGGGCAACTTTCTACCAAACAGAAGTGCTGTGAGAGGCCAATGTTTTTTTTTTCTGAACCCCCACAACCCCTCCTCACATATGACCAGACACAGCAGGTGGGTACCATAGCTGAGTCTCCAACACCTGGCTACAGCTGTTAGTCCTGTCTTGCTGAATCCCTGATATCTTGCCCCACCAAAATTACAGGCCCACACAAGTTCTTTCCAGTGGCTTTTCTGTACAAACTACCTGTCTTGCATCACGCTTGACATTTTCTATTCTCTCACAAAGAAAGCAGCACCTGGCTTCAGCATACCCCTTAACTCTTGCTACGTGGCCCCAGGCCTGGCACCAGCAACAACCGGCCTTTGTTCCCAGCTTGGTTTCTCCTGGGCACCTCTAAGTCCAGTGAAAGTAACAGGCAGATGCAGGTCACTTTGTAGCTCATACTGGGTCACATAGGCAGGGCTACCTATGTTGTAAATATTTAATGCAAAATATTCACCAAATTCTTATGTGTGCCACTGCATTATAAAAAATTCCAACCTACTAATCAGAACTTGCAAGGACTTGTGTGCCTGATGTGGGAGAGAGCAGTGAGATGTTGTCGTAGCACTCAAAAGGAGAATGGCTGTGATGTCTCTGTAGCTGAGAATAAAGATGAAAGAACACAGAGGAACCAGAAATAAAAAATAAAATAAATAGACTTGATTTCCTAAAGTTCAATCAGTAGTGCAGACAGGGAACAGATGTCCTCTCTCCATATGCAGAGTTCATGCCTATTCTGCATCCTGGGTGAATGCCAATTTATTCATCTCTTAGCACTGCAACATCCCTGCAATTGGAATATGTCTATTAATTCCACAGTGTCCATGCAATTGGAATATGTCTCTTAATTACACAGTGTCCGATTCCACAGACTGTTTTATAAAACTTATGTAAATGCCAGACCACCACACTGAAATGACATTACCAAGTTTTCAGCTGATCACATTTACAGGGAATAAAAGATAACTTTGATGACATCACTTGGCAAGAATTGGGTATAATTTTAAAATTTGGATATAATAGTGCTTTTCTCCAATAAAAGAAAAAATAAAATACACCAAACTAAAACTTTATCTGCTCTCTGTAAAATTACCTCCATTTTCTTTTTTTTTTTTTGGTCTTAAATCAATTGGCCTCTTATTAAATGTAAAAATTCTTTATTTTTGGAGGGGGGGAGTTACCTCCATTTTGAAGTTGATTTCTATATACCACTGAAGTCTATGAAAACCATTTTAAAAATCACTGAGCATCTTATACAAGCTATATGACATGATCTATGGAATAAGTAAAACATATGGTTTTATATGAAACACAGAAGAAACAGAAAAAAACTGCAAATTGCAATGTGAGATTCTCAAACCAAAAGTCATGAAATTTGGAAAAATGTAGACAAATGTAATGTACAGAAAATGACTGACATTAAAAAATCTTTAAGATTTCTCATTAGTTACTAACTCATTATATATGTTTATATTATTTTAGTCCATTATTTCCTTATACTTCTTAAAATATGTGTGCACATGTACACACACATTTCTTCCTCATTCCTCTGTTTTATTTTTAGATTGCTACATATATGTGCTGCATTCATGGTGTATAAAACCAAGTAAATCCACTTATGTGGGCTGAGAAAATTATACATATATTTATATATATTTATTTATATATAAATATATATTTATATATCTATGTATTTATATATAAATAAAGTAATAGAGAAGCTTAAAAGACATAAAGACTTTTTAAATTAGATTTGTTTGCACTTTTTAAAATTAACATTTGCCAAGCAGAGCACTCTGGTATTGGATGATAAGCAGGAGTTACACAGAAGAGCCCAAGACAAATTGAAACATACAAGTTTATAGCTCAAAGGCCCTGGTGGAAGTACACAGCAGGCCTGGAGGGGCTACATGTGGAGGTCAAGGCAGGACGCCAGCAGAGAATAGCCGCATTCAAGGCAGGTGCTTTATTAAGTACCTAATGAAAAGACCTTTGGTGTTCTTGAGCTAAATTTGTATTGCTCAAAATAAAACAAAAAGAGCAAGATTTTGGTAAGGTGTGCAGAAATCTTATCTAAGGACCACACATGGGGAAAGCCCTGAGGTGGACTTTCCTGAGGTAAGAGTGTTGCTTACAAGGGCTGCCAGAGGGTCATATCATGATCTTAAATGTATTTGTCACTCTGTGAGCTGTTGTCCAATTCATGCAATTTTGGGAGAGGTTAGTGTCAGCTGAAGGTCCCTAGCTACTGAAAATAACTGCCACAGCAGCAATATCATGTAGTTTAGCTGAACTGTAAAAACCCTTAGATCATCTTTATTGTATCTTTTATAATGCCCAAATAGGTACAATAAAAAGGAAAAATATGAATAATGGAGAAATTTTTTCATATTATTTAATGTTTAAGACAACTAAGGAAAGGGACTGCTGATGACATAATTGCACTGCATTACCAAACAGAATATTGTTACATACAACCTTAAATAAGGTTGGATATGTGAACACATTCAACTTCAATCAGCTTTATTAATAAAAATATTAAGTTCACACATAGTCTAAATAAAGCATGTCAAACCCACTATATAACCATTTGTGAATATATACATTATAAATATTTAAGAATTGTTGCTGTTCTTTTAATATAATAATGTGATAGCTGTATATTCCTTAGTTGTTGGAATAGAGGGTAATAATGTATTAAACATAAACGTACAATAATTTTATGTACTTAGAGATGAGTTGTCTGTAATTTCTCACATATCCCAGGCCACCTTTTTTTTAAAGTTCAACTATATAAACTGATGTTCGTCACTTCTATCTATGAATATTATAAAAATATATCAGGATTTTAGTTAACTGCCACCATATTTTCCTTAAAGAGTAATTGGGGAAGATAGTGAGAATTACTAATGTTCCCATATCTTATATTAATGCAGTAAAATATGCCCTTAATAGTGACATACAACAACATCCTAAGTCAACCACGAACAACATCTCCATTTAGATGTTCCTCATACACTGTGCATTACAATGTCCTCAATTTTCCATAGAAAAGAGGACATGAGTGAAACCCACCTAACATACAAAAACTCAATAGATCTTTAAGGCAGCAACATTAAAACTCATGATTTCACATGCACACTTGGAATAAAAACATAGTAGCATCAACTGATATTAGAGTAGAATCACATTAATATTTCCTCCTCAAAATATCTCAAATACAGTCAGTATAAAATAGAATATACATAATTTTTTTACATATAGAAACATCCATCCCTTTGATATTTTGAAGGATACTAAAAAGTAGTTTTTAAACTGGATTATACTACATAAGAAGAAATCTAATTTAGAATAACACATGAAAATATTTTTTACTAACTTTCTACTATGAATTCTGTGCTATTTAAAAATCATTTTCAATCACATACTCTTGTAAATTTTCTACATCTTAAAGTCAATGTAAGGCATAAATTCTTTAGTATTTCATGTTGTTATGAATATAAAAATTTCTCTACATTGTGTGATCCTTGATATTGAATAAAGCAGTAGGTCCAGCTATAGGATTTCCTGTATTCTTCCGATTTCAGGTTTCTCTGTAGTATGAATTCTCATGTGCCAATTAAGTTTTGAGCACAGGTTAAAAACTTTGCCACAATGTTTACATTTGTAAGGTTTCTCCCCACAATGAACTCTCTCATGTTGGGTAAGACACAAAGGGTAATTAAAGGTTTTGCCACACTTACCACATTTGTAATGCTTCTAGTGAGAATGAATTATCTGATGTTTTAATAAGATACGAATTCCAAGCAAAGGTTTTACCAAACATCTGTAAGGTTTCTCTCCAGTATGATCTGATGTCAAGTAAGTTTTGAGGAGTGATTAAAGGCTTTGCCAAATAGGCAACATTCATAATGGCTTACTCTAGCATGATTTCTCTGATGGTCAGTAAGTTTTGAGGACTGCCTAAAAGCTTTGCCACATTCTCTACATTTATAAGGCTTCTCTCCAGTGTGAATTTTCTGATGGTGAGTAAGGTGTGAGGACCGGCTAAAGGCTTTGTCACATTCTCTACACTTGTAAGGTCTCTCTCCAGTATGAATTTTCTCATGTGCAATAAGATATGAATGGCGTTTGAAGGCTTTGTCACATTTCCCACATTCATAAGGCTTCTCTGCAGTATGAATGCTGTGATGTTGAGTAAGTTTGGATTGCTCATAAAAGGCTTTACCACATTCTCTGCATTTGTACGGTTTTTCTCCAGTATGAAATCTTCTCTCATGTACAATAAGACAAGAATGCCATTTAAAGGCTTGGCCACATGTATTACATTTATAAGGCTTCTCTCCACTATGATTTCTCTCATGTTTCATAAGACACCAACGGTAATAAAAAGTTTTGCCACATTTTTCACATTTATAAGGCTTCTCTCGAGAATGAATTATTTGATGTTTAGTAAGGTACGAATGCCAAGAAAAGGCTTTTCCACATTCCTTACATCTATAAGGTTTCTCTTCACTATGAATGATCTGATGACGATTCAGCTTTGAGAAGCGAATAAAGGCCTTGCCACACTGTCCACATTTGTAAGGCTTTTCTCCAGTATGAATTCTCTGATGGTCAGTAAGAGTTGAGGACTGGCTAAAGGCTTTGCCACATTCTCTACATTTATAAGGCTTCTCCCCAGTGTGAATTCTCAAATGTAGAGTAAGTTTTGAGCCATAGCTAAAGGCTTTGCCACATTCTTCACATTTATGAGACTTCTCTATAGTATGAATTTTCTGATGTTGAGTCAGTTTTGAGTGCTGGTAAAAGGCTTTGTCACATACTTTACATTTGTAAGCCTTTGCCCCAGTATCAGTTATCTGATGCAAAGTGAGACCCGAAGGCCAATTAAATGTTTTACCACATTTGTAGGTTTTTTTCCCAGTATGGATTTCCTTATATGTATTCAGATAGAATATTGGATTACAGGTTCTCCTGCAAGGGTTACTTTTGTAAGCTTCTTCCCAGGTATAAATACCATCCTGTTCAATATGATCTGAAGATTGCTTAAAAGATTTGTCACATTTACTTTGTTTGCCTGTCTTTTCCATGATATGAATTACCCGATATATATCGTGATTTGACCTTTGGTCAAAAACTTCTCCACATTTATAATGATCTTCTGGAAACTGAGTTCTCTTATTATTAGTATTTGACTCTTGATTGAAGCTTTTCCAATGATCATTGCAGTGATAATTTCTGCCTCTATTATATGTACTCTGGTAACAATTGAAGATAGAAAGGCCTTTAGTGACAGCTATAGTTTCATTAAACATGAATACTTATTCCCAAATAACTATTCTAAAATACCTATTAAAGCAAGATGGTTATAAAAGAGAGTGCTCCCAAGTTTATGAAAATTATATACATTAAGAAAAAAATTATTTCTCAGCCTTAGAATGATATTGTTAAAATGACTGCCCGATCACATTTAAATTTTATATGTATGTTATAAATCTCTTAGTTTTAGAAAGAACTTACTGAAAGTTTAATCCCACCTTATATTTAGAAGAATTCAAATGGTTATTTACAGTGGATTATGTGAGTTCCCAGATATTCCACATTTCTTTTCCCAGAATGTGTAACATTTACAAATTATTTTCAGTCTTTACATCTAGAAATACATTGTTCTGCAAATGTAACTAAATTAAAGTCAGAGTTTTCACAAGATGTGTACTAGCTTTGACCTATGTTGATAACAAAAATTTTATTATGAATTGTCACAGTATAGTTCTGTCCTTATTGACATCCCTTTCTTATCACTCTTTATCAAATTTCAAGGCTTTTATTATGTGTACATTATGAAAACCACACTTTCCATATCTTACCAGTATTATTTTAGGGAATAAATCTTTTATTCCTGGATATTGCAAGAAGGCCTGGGTGTCTTCAGATGACATAGCTAAAAGATACAAAATAAATAACCATGGTTATGAAACGCAAGTAAATATACTTTGCATTTACCAGAAACTATTAACCTTATTATCTTTTTGGGTATTCCTAGAGTGAGCCAAGAGTTCACAGCATGCCAAAACTTCCATTCAAAATGGAGCCATAGGTAGACACACTTCGTCTCCTCATGCAATCACAGAGAGAATTACAACTATATCTCAAAACAAACAACAACCAGAACCATCAGAAAATCAAGCTATATGGAAGCCCCAAAATCAGGGATTTAAAGAAGTCATTCATCCAGACGGGTGCCTTCCTAAGACAGGGAGTCAAAGCAGCTCTACCTAATACACAGACAAAAAACAGAGAGGCTGCCAAATTGAGAAGAAAAAGAAACATGGTCCAAATGAAAGAACAGAACAAAACTCCAGAAAAAGAACTAAATGAAATGGAGATAACCGACCTATCAGATGCAGAGTTCAATACACTGGTAATCAGGATGCTCAAAGAACTCACTGAGTATGGCAAAAACATAAGAGAAGAAGTGAAGGTTACACTAAGTGAAATTAAGAAATACCTACAGGAAACAAATAGTGGAGAAGATGAAACCAAGAATCAAATCAACAATTTGGAACACAAGGAAGGAAAAAGCATTAAATCAGAACAGCAGGAAAAAAAATAATTCAAAAAAGTGAGGATATGTGTAGGACCTCTTTAAATGTACCAACATCTGAACTGAATTATAGGAGTACCAGAAAGAAAAGAGGAAGAACAATAAATTGAAAATTTATTTTAAAAAATAATGAAAGAAAACTTCCCTAATTTGGTGAAGGAAATAGATGTACAAGTCCAGGAGAGTCCCAAACAAGTTGGACACAAAGAGGACCACACCAAGACACATCATAATTAAAATGCCAAAGGTTAAAGATAAAGAGAGAAATTTAAAAGCAGCAAGAGAAAGGCAGAGAGTTACCCACAAAGGAGTTCCCATAAGACTATCAGCTGATTTCCTTAAAGAAATTTTGCTGGCAAGGAGGGACTGGTAAGAAGTGTTCAAAGTGATGAAAAGCAAGGACCTAGAACCTAGATTAGCCTATCCAGCAAAGCCATCATTTAGAATGGAAGGACAGATAGAGTGCTTCCCAGACAAGGTAAAGCAAAAGGAGTTCATTATCACGAAGTCATTATTACACAAAATGTTAAAGGGACTTATTAAGAAAAAGGAGATCAAAACTATGAACATTAAAAGGGCAACAAATTCACAACTATCAATAACTGAGTCTACAAAAACAAACTAAGCAAACAACCTGACCAGAACAGAATTACAGGTATGGAGGTCCTTTGGAGGGTGGACAGCTGGGAGAGGGAAGAAGGAAAATGGAAGAAAAGGTTGCAGAGATTAAGAAGCATGATTGGTAAGTACAAAAATAGACAGGGGGATGTCAAGAATAGTATGGGAAATGGAGAAGCCAAAGAACTTATATGCATGACCCCGACCCATGCACATGAACTACTGGCAGGGGGCAGGGTGGGCGCACGGGGGAGGGGGTGGAATTGTTGGAGGGAAGGATGGTACCAGGTGGAGGGGGATGGAGGGGGACAAAGGGGGAAAATTGGGACAACTGTAATAGCATAAGCAATAAATTATATTTAAAAAATAAAATTAAGAAAAAGAGATTTTGCAGAATGCCCAAGAAAGGTAACAGTAGGAAGAGTCACATCACAGACAAAAAGTTGCTTTTATTTGCCCACAATATATGCTCAAACTCCCTGGCACACAATGCTAATATTATAAGAAAACTCCCAATTCCCACTTTCTTCTCTGGACAGAAAGAGATGAGTGTGCAATGTGTTCAAAGATCTTGCTGTTTTGCAGATTCTTGAGGGATTACTTCTGTTTTGCATGATACAGAGTGCTAAAAACTGAATGCAGTATAGTGACTACTACAAAGAAAAACTGAGTAATTGTTTAAATATCACAGAGACTGTAGTACTGAAGACAGTTTTCAACATAGAAAAATATCATGGGCTCTCAAAAAGAAAACATTTTCTACTTTAAACTTATACACACAAAAGAACAACAAATACACATCCCCTAAACAGTTTTGACAGAAATTAAAATTTCTACCACAGGTGATTGTTATTTCTTTTCATCTATAGAAAGCAAGTTCATATTATTTGGTTGTTTACAATTCCTGCACCTCAGCAGAAGATATGAAAGCATACAGAGAAACAAAAAAAAAAAAACACCTGTTGAATCAGAAAAATGAAATAAATCTCCAGAAATCGGAACTATATAATGGAAATAAATTAATTACCTGATGTAGAATTGAAAATAACCATCTTAAAATGAAAAAACAGTCAAAATTGACAACTTTTTAGTATCAGGAAAACTCCATCACCAAGATGAAAATGCAAAGAGAAAGAAAGTATAAAAATAAACCACATAGAAACTGGAAGCTGAGAAACACAATACCAAAATTAAAAAATACAGTAGAATCATCAAAAACCATGTGACCAAGTTAAAGAATCAAAAAACTGGTACATAGTTTATTAAAAATTTCTTTAAAAAAAAGATTATTTGTTTGTTTGTTTGTTTACTTATAGAGAGAGGGCAAGGGAGGGAGAAAAAGAAGAAGAGAAACATCCACGTATGAGAGATACACTGATTAGCCATCTCTCACACATCCTCCACTGGGGACTTTTATAATTTTATGTATGCTTCAAACCTGTATGATCCTATTAACCAATGTCACCCCAATAAATTTAATTTTAAAAAGTTATAGAAAAGTTTTTATGATGTTTGATTTATAGCTTATAACATCAAAAGCACATGTAAACAAAGCAAACATAGTCAAATGGGATTACATCAAATACTAAAAACTCCTGTATATTAAAGCAAATAATTAGTAAGGTAAAAAAAACAACCTGTGGAATGCGATAAAATTTCAGGAAAACATGTATTGAATAAGTAACCCAAAATATATGAAGAACTTTTACAAAACAACAAGAAAAAAGAAGTAACACAATTTTAAAAATGGCCAAACCTATGTGATTAAGTGACCTATAAGAAAAAAAAAGGTACAGATACACAATGGGGAAAGACAGTTTCTTCAATTAATGGTGTTAGAAAAACTGAACAGATATATGCAAAAAAAAATGAAACTAGGCCAATTTCTTATGCCATGTTTCAAAGTAAACTAAGAATGGATTAAAAACTAAAATGTAAAATCTGAAACCATGAAGACACTGGAAGAAAGGATAGTCAATAAGCTCTCCCATCACTCTTAGAAATATTTTTTTGGATCTGTCTCTTAAGGCATGAGACAAACAAGAGATAACAAATGAGACTACAACAAAATAAGTTTTTGCACAGGAAAAGAAACCATCAACAAAATGAAAAGACCACCCACTAAATAAGTGAAGATATTGGCCAATGATACTATAAGGTTAAATATCCAAATTTTATAAGGAATTCACAAACAATCTGATTAAAGTAATGGACACAGGACCTAAATAGACATTTCCACAAAAAGGACATAGAACTGGCCTACAGGTTTATTTAAGAATGCTCAACATCATTCATCATCAGAGAAATGCAAATTAAAACCACAAGAAAACAACACCAAACACCAATCAGGATGGCAATCATCACTAAACGGACAAACACATGCTTGGCAATGGGGTAGACACACAGGAGTGTCCAACCCATGGCCCATGGGCCGCATGCAGCCCAGGATGGCTATGAATGTGGTCCAACACATAAATTTACTTAAAACATTATGAGATTTTTTTTTTGCTTTTGTTAGTGTTTGTGTATTTAATGTGTGATCCAAAACAGCTCTTTTAGTGTGACCCAGAGACACCAAAAGGTTGGACACCTCTGGTAGAGAAATGATCATTCAAATGCACTATATATCGATATATAGGTGTAGCCAATTTGGAGGGTCCTCAAAAATTTACAAACAATTACCATAGGATCAACAATTCAATTTCTGGGGAACTATGCAAAGAATATAAGAATATGAACTCAAATTTTGCAACACTATATCAACTGCAACATTATTTAAAATAAACAAGATATGGACTGAACAAAAAAAATGACTATCTTTAGAATGGTGTGGTACAATTTGGAATACATTTTAAAATTTAATTACAGTTCATATAATATTGTCAGAAAGTTTATATTCAAAATTTTCCCAACATGCACTCAGAAGGGGAAAACTTATATTCAAAATTTTCCTCTCCAATACGCACTCAGAACAGCATAAAAAAATGAGGACAGTGTAAGGAGACCCTGGGACAACTTCAAGCATAACATCAATCTCATCCTGTGGGTGTGAAAAGGAGAAAAGAGAAAGCAAAACATTGAAAATATGACAAAAACTTCCCTAACCTGGTGGAGGAAAGAGACATGCAGGTCCACAAGTTCAGAGAGTCCCAAACAAGATGAATACAAAGAGTCCAACAGAAAGATACATAATAATTAAAATAGCAAAGGTTAAAGACAGAGAATCTTAAAAACAGCACAAGAAAAGCTCCCACAAGACTGTCAGCTGATTTCTGAAGAGAAACTTTGCAAGCCAGAAGGGATTAGCACATAACATTCAAAAGCAAGAAACTACAATCGAGATTACTCTATCCAGCAAAGCTATCATTTAGAACAGAAAAATAAAGAGCTTCCCATTAAAAAAAAAAAAGCTGAAGGAGCTTATCATCATCAAACCAGTATTACAAGAAATGTTAGAGTCTTCTTTAAAAAGAATAAAATAAAGATAAAAAATATGAATAGTAAATGGCCATAAAAAAGAATGAAAATCTTACTATTTACAACAGCAAAAAGGCACCTAGAAGGTGGTATAAGTGAAATACGTAAGGCAAAGACAGACATAATCATATGCCCTATGATTTCACATATATATAGAATTTAAAGACAATGTATGAACAAACCAACCAGAAATAGACTGATAGATACAGAGAACAGACAGATGGCTGCTGGGTGGGGGTGGGTTGCATGACTGGGTGAAGTGATGGAGAAGTACAAATTGGTAGCTACAAAATAGTCATAGGGATGTAAAGTACAGCATAGGAAATGTATTGGGTTGGCTAAAAAGTCCATATGATTTTTTTCCATAAAATAAAGACACATTTTTCATTTTCACCAATAACTTTATTGATTTGGATATTTTCTGAGTATGACAGCTATCTCCCATGTGGTATAACACTGATTGTTCTCAGTTAAAGTCTCTATTTGATCACTATCAACTTCAACTGGTCTACCTGACCATGGAGCATCGTCCAGCAAAAAATCTTCAGCACAAAACTTTGCAAACCACTTTTGACACATTTGATCAGTCACAGCACCTTCTCCATACACTGCAGAAATCTTTTTTTTTTTTTTGGCATTTCAGCTGTGTTTTTATCTTTCTTGAAATAATAAAGCATAATATGCCAAAAATATTGCATATTTTCTTCCATCTTCAATATTAAAATGGCTATACAAAAATACACCAATTTTGATTTTTTTAAAATGCACAGTGATATGACAGCTGTCACCATGCAATTTAACAAAATTATTTCGAATGAAGTTGAAGACAACTAAGCACTACTAGAGCCATTGCACAGAAAAAAACCTAACGAACTTTTTGGCCAACCCAACGGAAAATAATATTGTAATAACTATGTATGGTGCCAGCTGGGTACTGGAAATATCAGGGGGGTTGCTATAAGACTTTGTAAATTATATGATTGTCTAACCACTACGGTGTACACCTGAAACTAATATAAAATAATATTGAATTGAAAAAAAATGCAAAACAAAAATAGAAAATTTATCCCCAGGAATCTGAATACTATATGAAAGTAGTATTGAAAAAGAATTCTTCTTTGTAACCATAAATTTTAACTGCGAGTGTGCCTGCATAAACAAACATTTTGCATCACAGCATGTGATATATGGCAGGAAAATTTCCCAAGAAATGCATTTAAATCATTTAAAAATAGCTCTAAAGTGTCATTTTAATAAAGAAGCATTTATTTATTTGTTTTCCAAATTATAAGAAAAATTTGTTAAGAAATTACAGAGGTAGTAGAAGTGAGCCAGCCTGGCTGTGTAGGATTAGGAAACAAGGTACAGAAGCAGAAGAAAGGCCTCTGGAAGGCAAAGGGCTATGAGACTGGGGAAAAAAGGGGAGGAGAGAAAAGCATGAGCATGCTCATGAGAGGGAGAGCAAAATAACGAAACATTTAAATGACATGAGATGAGAATGACATGAGAAATTTTTCAGTTATTAATACATCTCAGCTATTCTTATACAAAATGTGTCTGCTGTAATCCATCCCACAGAAAAAAAAGTTAATTTCTAAATAAATAAACCATAATAAAGTTGTAAAATATGAACAGAATGACTGATCTTTAAACTAAAAATTTCAGATTAAGTACAACATGATTAAAAGACATACTGAGGAAAACCAATGAAAAATCTAATCACTGTTTTTTGCCTAAAGTAAACTTAAACTGAGGAACAAAACATTTTCCTGAATATGAAATGTCTAAGATTTCTATAACTCACTTCTTACCAAAGGAGTACACTTGAACACGTTGTACCAGCATTTCTCCATCTAAAAGCACAAATTTGACAAAGATCTAATCAGAAAGTGAAAATACATAGGACACAACCCGGGCAGCTTTGGACTGAACAAGAGAGTATGATAAAATGATAGTGATGAAGAAGTCGGGTAACAACAGAGACTTTCCTATGTGGTGGGCAGTGTTTTAAGGTTGTCTATGGCAGTAACTTATTGAAGAATTCTATGAGGTAATAGGTAAATATAACTATTCTAACATGGAGAAACTGCAACATATAGGTTGGAAATTTCTTATTAGTTCATGCAAAGAGAAATAACCTTTTGAAGTGAAGTAGAAAATTTGATTTTCTCATTTTGGGGAGGTGCATTGTGTATGATGAAATCACTGAGACTGAGCGTTGTAGAATCTTACTTGAAGCCTCCATAGAGTTAGAAATTAAATACCAGAAAACATGACACCTGTCCCCAGGATCCCTGTGATTTCTGCAACAAATTTCAGAATCTCAACAATTTCCTTCATAAACGCCTTACATGAAAAAAATATAAAAATCAAAAGGCTTAACATACAATTCCTTAGTGACGTGCATTAATTTTCCCAGGTTCCCAAAGCGAAAGAAGAGGAGTCAGACCATGGTGGCCCCCACAGCTGTTATGATGAGAAAGGTCACTGAGGCAGGAGAGTTCTGAGAGGATATAGGAGCCTGGGACCTGCTGGATGTGAGCTGGCTCTGTATGACAGCAACAGAAATAAACCTGGGATTCTCAAAATCCTTTCCACAGCTCATCAAGCCACATTTTAAGATCTGGCTTCCTCTGTGACACCTGCTTCCACATTCCCACCTACCTGGGTGGGCAGATATTGTCTGTTTTCTATTCACATCCCAGCGCGCCTTCATTTGCTCCAAAAAGGTGACAAGTATGGGCTTAGAAAGAGAAAGTCCTGTTTATTAAAAAACAAAACAAAACAAAACAAAAAAACAGAACATGAGTTTCGGTAGAGACAATCCCATTTCCAATCCAGTCTGTACTAAGGTGAGAAGACATGGTAGAATATTACAATATTCTACAAAATGATTTTCTGAAACATCGTTTTCGGACAGCACCTTAAATATTCTAGACAGCATGTAAAGTTTTCAGACGCTGAGTTCTTATTTCAAATATATAACAAAGCTTTTCTAGTTTTACACCAGAAAATCCCCAATTTGTTCCTTGAGGGCAAGAATCTGAAAGGCTACCATACAAAACAGATGTCCACAAATGATGTTACTAATAAAGAAAATAAAACGCTGCCAGTAGAGGAGGAGGCCTGGAAAGAAGTCATCCTCACCCAGGGAGACCAGGTTCCTGTAGTTCTCCAACATCACATCCATGTACAGTTTCTGTTGAGCTGAGTCCAGACATTCCCACTCCTCCCCAGAGAAATCTACTGACACATCCCTGAAGGTCAACGATTGCTGGAAAAAACAAGAGACACATTTACCAAGGAGACACCAGTGGAGTTCATACTGTTGTCCAATATGAAAACAGTGTTTGAAGTGGTTTTGACCTAGGAGAGTATCCTGAATCATCCAGTAAGGTCATTTTGACCCCGTAACACTCTCTAACGTACTTTCTGACACTGAGCAATGAGGATGGCACATGTCCACAAATCAATTGCAGAGACTTTACTTTTCAGGAAAATAAACTTCAAACTGAAGGAACAGACACAGGCATATGGATTTGTGAGTGTTGTATTGGTATCATCCAGAATGAGCTGTGTATATTTATCAGCTGGAAAAGGCAAGGTGAGTCGTACATATAAGTACTTCTTCAAATTTAAAGTGGATAACAAAGAACTGCACTTCTGTAAAACTGCAGATCCTGACTCAGGAGTGCTGACGTGGGGCCTGTGTTTCAACATCTTTAACAAGCTCACTTTTTATTAGTGACACCGCTGTCTGTGGGCCATGTGCCATGTTCTGAATAGCACAGCAAAAGAAAACACAGGGAAAAATTCATACATGACTTTGAACTGAAGGAGTTTCATAGGATTTACAGTCTTCACACCACAGTAAGCATAGCAACTACAATTGTTTTAAAATTTACTATAAATAATCTTACAAGATTATTCTTCCTGCGTTACCAGAGCATTTTGTGAAACATACTGTAAAGAGTACACCATGGGCATTACTCCAATGTGATCTAAAATGTTTGAAAAAATAAAAAGGGAAATACACATGAAGAAATCTAATGAATGTTCACAGCAGTTTCTCTGAGAATAGCAAAAAGGAAGAAGAAAAGGTAGCTCACATAACATTAACATTTTATGCACACACAGATATACACATGGGAACTATGTGTGTGATGAAATCATTGAGACTGAACTTTGTAGGACCTTATTTGAAGCCTCCATAGAATTAGAAATTATATCACTTTAAAAGTGATAGAAAATAGAACTTTTACATCCATGAAATCAAGGTTAATTAGCAATTCTGTAAATCTCATGAATTGTCCAATGGATGATATTTTATAAACACAATAGGAAGAACATACATAATAATGAAAAAGATGTTAAAGCTCTTGTTACTTAGTCTTTAATTTCTTTGAAAATTTTCATGTGTCATTAGTGGAGAGCAATCTGCTGTGACATTACACAGGGAGAATAAAGAAAGAAATCATTACGTGAAAATGATCACAAAATAACCATTAATTTCTACAAATGTCAATGTACATATACCTCCCATGTCTGTACTCTAACAGTACATTTAAATAGTCTTTCTTACCAATCTAGTGAGCAAGTCCCTTCTATCTACTCTCCTTTGTCAGAACTTTCTGAGCTATCAAGAACAGTAAAATGAGCATTTTCTTACCCTCGTCTATAGAACTGATGCTGCAGCCACATGGACCTAAACCTACACCCCCTTCTTCACCAATACCTGAGCCTCTGAGCCCATCCCAACAGGGACAGTGGACATGGGTCCTTTCCCAGGTTAATCTGTCACAAAGGGGATGTTTTCAGTAGCTGAAAGTCATTAATTCAAGAAGGAAATTCTTCATGCCCTTTGAGAGCCTGGATAAAGAGAATGCAGAGAAGGCTCTGGGACAAAGGAGAGAAGTATATAAACTGCTGATCTTGATGACTATAAGAAGAAAAGGGAAAAAAATGAGTAGATGAAAACAATCTTGCTAGGCAAGAACATCAGAAGTAGAAAATTAAAGGTTGCAGGTTGCAAATTCAGAGATGTTAGGAAGAAAAGCTGACACAACCTCTGACCCAGGACATATCTTTTACCTGAGAAGCAGCCATGTTGTTCTTGCTCCTGCTGTGGGTTGCTTTCTCACGCGATGGCACGTTGGGGAGTTACATCTGCATTTTGAGGATGTGCCTTCGAAAGCGTCCACACAGCCCCTTCCTCTACTTCCACCACACTCACAGACAGAAGGGTGTGGAAATGCTAAATTGGCCTCCCTCTTGTGTTCTTTTTTCACAGGAGACTCAGGAACAGTGAGCTCCTACATGGAGACCACAGTGTGAGTTTTTTCTTTCTTTCTTCATGTGCTCTCTCCTCCCACAGACATCCACAAATTCCTAGAACCATGAAAACGTGTGCTCCTCTCCAGGACCCTCAAACCCAACAGGGCACCCCGTTACCTACCCTCACCAAAGCCTGATCCTCTCACAAATGCATCCCTGAGTGCATTTGTGATCAACTAAGCTCCAAGGGCTCTTCTTTTGCCTCTGTTTCTTGTTCCCAGAGCCCATTTCTTCTCCCTCTGACTTTCTAAATAAAATTTCTTACATAAAGAAAACAAAACAACAACAAAGAATGCATCTCAGAGCCTTCCTGCTAATCCCTGGGCCCACCTTAGCATCACCTGGAGCACCTCAGTAAACAATGATGCTCCACCTGGAACAGTCGTCAAACTTTGTGGAGGATGGCACAGCTGATGCCATTTTTTAAAAACTCCTCATGTGACCTAACAGGAACTCAGAGGGGAACAGCTTATCTTTGAGTTGTTTTTGTTGTTGTTTTGTTGTTTATTTGTTGTTGTCGCTGCTTTTTTTTTTTTTAAAGAGGGGAAGGGAGGGAGAAAGAGAGGGAAAGAAACATCAAAAGGCTGCCTCTCGTACACCCGCAAGTGGGGAACTAGCCCACAACCCAGGCATGCATTATGACCAGGAATCACCTTTTGCTTTTCAGGAAAATGCCCAACCCACTGATCTACACTGGTCAGAATGGAACAGTTCAGCTTTAATAAGCATGTACATCATTTGGGGATCTGGACTGCACTCTAAGTTATGGTTCTGCAGGTCTGCAGTGGGACCCATGATATAGCATCTTTAACTAGTTCCTTTCTGGTGCTTGTGTTGCTTCCCCGGAGCTGTTTTCTGTAGCACTGCAGGGGCAGATACCAGACCCATCACATCTCAGACGTCCGGGTACCGTAATGGCTTGGAGAGGGGTCTATCAAAGGACAGAATTCCTTCTTCTTTTCCAGGAAATTATAGTAAATTATTTTAAAAACATAAAATGATAACATAGGTTGTAAACCTGAAAACTTTTTTAAAAGTTGGCTATAAAAATATGCGCATCAAATTACAAAGTGAATGGATGGGCTCTGTGCAAAATCAAGATGAGGGTTAACCCAGTCCTTCCTTCAGTATTTTCAGAGAATGGACAAGAGAGACTTAAGGAGAACAGCTCCTTTGTGGCTCACAGTCACTAATTCAACAAATCACATAAAGGAAAAAGCTGCTGAAAATTAGACAAACTCATGAAACTAGGTTCTGACTGTTGAGCTCACTGACATCCTTACCAAGTGCACACTGGAATAGCCTGATATTATTGACTAAGTACCAATGGAGGTTTCCACGTATGATAAAGAGTAGAAAAGATGCAGGGCTCAGAATATAAACTAGACACAATATAAGAGGAAAACGATTTGGGATTTTTTTTTAATGTAATGACTTCTATGGTTGGTCAAAGATTTTTAAAAAATTAAGACTACTTCATATTTAGAAAAGAATGTTAAGTGCTGGTTAAGAAATAGCCCCAATGCTGATTTCAAAAGTTAATGACTACTCACAGAAAAGCAGGTATTCAACAGACTAAAATTTCTCTCAATCTTTTTTAAAAAAGAGAAATTCAATGTGAGATGTAGAAGGAGAAGTAAATCCATGGGGCAGGAAAAAGTAAGACCCAATGCTTTTAATATTCCTGCAAAAGCTTCATGTAGTGACAGATTAATTTATTTCTTCTCCCAAGTCACCTCCCTCTTCCCATCCCAAGAAATGAGAAGGGACCCATGACTGACACACAAGCCTCTGCCCTCTGATTGGAAACCAATGATTTAAAATTCTTATAAACCAGAGATCTGTAATTCTCATTCAAATCTATTTAATGGAAACAATTCAATATGTTAAATATATAAAGCCACAAGCCGCTATCTCACAACTTAGTCATCCGCATCCCATCAGCTCACCACTTCTCTTCATCCAGGTTCCCCTTCTTCCGGGCTACCACGTATTTCAGTGTATGGATCTGTGACTGTCTCTTCCCTGTCTCTCTGCACTGTTGTCCTTTTCTGTTTTCCCCCTGCCTTCTCCCCTGCTCTTTCTCCCCTTTTTTCTATTGCTGTCCCTACACCTGTTTCGTGAAACAACTGAAACCTATTTCACCTTTAGCCGCTCTTTCTCCCTGAGCTTTCTGATTGCTCTCATCTCCACGGGTCTGGGTGTTTCTCTCCCCCGCCCCGCACGCCGCCCCGCACGCCGCCCCGCCCCGCGCCCCGCCCCGCGCCCCAGTTACACTCTTCCCTGTCACCCCTGCCCCCAGCTGGCTGACTCTCAGTGCTGTTTCTCCCTCAGGTCCGTCACCCGAAACCCGCTTTCCGTCCCTGCTCTCGCTCCCCCAACTCTCCTCAGAACCACTGCCTCCGTCTGAAGCGCCTCGCCCGTTGCCGCCCCGCGTCCGCTCACAGGCCCCTCTGCCTGTCAGCTCCCCTCGTCTCTCTGGGGCTCCTCCGTCTCCTCGGCTCCCTTCCCCAGTTACCCTTTCACTCGTCCGTTGCGATCCCGTCCCTCCCACATCCCCTGCGCGGCCGTCTCTTAAGGCCCCTCGCGGACCTTTTCTCCCCCTCACGCGTCCGTCTCTCTCATTCCGGATCCGGATCCCCTCGTTCCGGCGCTTTCGCGGCTACCCCGTCGCCGTCACCACTTCCACAAAGCCCCTCCCGCGTTGGGCAGGTCACCTCTCCTGGGGACACTGTGTTCTCCCCTCCTAAGTCCCAACCCATGGAAACTGTGCTCTTCCTGGGAAAGGGAGGGAGGGGTCCTGCAGATCCCCAGGCCGGGGTGCAGTCAGGGCTTCAGGGGCCGAGAGCGGCGGGGCGGGAAGAGGGGTGCAAAAGGTTTATCCGAATCACCCGAGTCTGTCTCTCGAGACGTTGAACAAAGCGGAATGGAAGGGCTGCCCAGGAAACAGCTTTAAGCTAATAAACCACGGAGCAGGCCGTGTCCAATGGCCGGAAGGTGGAGGGGCTACGGGCAGGATGGCCCCAGAGTTTCCGCAGAAACGAACACGGAGCGTCCCCACGGCCCCCTACCCCGCACCCCCCCACCCCCACCCCTGCCTCCACCGAGGGAAGACGTCAGTGTTGGGGCCTCTACTCACCGTCGTAGGAGGCTCTGGAGTGGGGATTTCAACGTCTGCAGAGACCCCCAAGGATTCGTACTTGCGTTGGAATTTGGACAGAACCGATCCGGAAGATGCGAAGGACCTCGCCACTCCAGAGCCCCTTCTGGGACTGCAGGGAACTGCGCGTGCGCTTCTCCGCGGAAGCAGCGTGGTTTTGGCTAGTGGCTGGCCGTGAAAAGTGGCCACACCAGTGATGGGAGAGCGGAAGGAAGTGGAGGGAGTGATGTCGGGGCACAGCAAGAGCTCCCCTTCGCCTTGCTCTCATTGGATACAGCCTTTTCTTGTTGATTGCGTTTGACTCACCCACATCATTATTCTTAAAGTTTGTAAGATTTCTCTCCAAAATTAATATTACGATGACCCTCCAAGGATTCAATTTGGGATAAGATCTTTCTATTATCATACATTCTAAGATTTCTCTTAGACGTATGTTGACTGATGTTTACTAATGTCTGACCATCAGTTAAATACATTGCAAGCCTCATCATATTTTAACTTTTCTACCGGAACGAATTTCTGATGCTCAGTGAAAATTGTTCCTGCCCAAAGGCCTTCCAAAGTCATTATGTTTGTAACTTTCCTCTGAGTATAATTGTGATATGTGTTTAAGAATGATAAACCAAAACTTTCCCATTTTTATTGCAAAGGCTTCTTGTCATACTAATTAGAATTTCCAGTTGTATAGAGAAATAGCGATGGGAAAGAGAAACATGGATCCACTGTTGTCTTCTCAGCGCTGTAGACCTAGTCCACAACCCAGGCATGCGTCAGGAACCTCCACCACCACCTTTCAGTTTACAGGACAAACTCCAGCCATTTGAACTACGCTGTCCAGGACCTGAATATTTGTTGTTGTTGTTGTTGTTGTTTTAATACAATGTTGGGAATAATTTTGGTGATATTTGGAAGGTAATTATGGACATTATACATTGTTATATAATATTGCATACAGTCATGTTGGGATGAAAGAGACTTCAACATGCACACCACTGTTCATAAAAACAATTAAATACATGGTTGGAGGACTTTTCATCAAATTCAAAACCATTGGGGAATGGGTAATTATCAGTGAAAGCCAAGAAATTATTTTGTTTATAAGAAATTTTGTTGCTTGTAAAATTTACAAGGGAGTAAAATGAACATATTCATAAGAATAAAGACTATTTCCTCAATTAATGGAAAGTTTTGACATGTCTCCCTGCAATATCACTATAATACATATGAACAAAGGGGGAAACATTTTCACTATAGTTGCACGGACAGTTGTAGTCCTGTGAGAAGATCTGAGGATCACAAACATGTCACAGAGACTGACTGCCCAGCCCCACCTCTGGTGCACCACAGTGAACCTCCAGTGCAGACAGCAAGAAGAAATCCCGTGAATCTTTTTCCCATTTCAGTCACAGAGGCAGAGTTTGGAAGGAAAAGAGGTGGATGAGGAGTTGGGGTAAGTGCTCACAGCTTTAAAAGGGATTCCTGAGGGTCAGAAATTATTAGTCCAGTGGCAAAGACATAGGAGTAGGAGGCATAATTCCTGACAAACGGACTGAGTGTGTGGACATGAACTAGACATTCTGACACCACACTAATCCGCGTGCTGATGACACGCTATATTGTAACCCTCGCTATTGGTGGTGCTGGCTCATGGTTTACTTCTCTGGCAGTTAATCTCATTAAATTTACCTCCGGTTCTAACTTTGGTTTGCCTGACATCAGAGATCCTATGACATTATTTGCAGAATAATAACCGCTAATAAATCTCCATGCATATAATGATGTTTAAAAAAATGATTGGTCCAGTTATGTAGAGAAACTATATACCTTAGTGAAAATGGGTAGGATATGCGTTTTTCCTTTACTGGTAATTATATTAAATGCTTAATAAAGGCAGTAGTTGGATTAGACAGAACACACTGCTGGTGTGGTTAGTATGGTGAGAATATTTCTTGAATTTCAATAAAAAACTTAGGAGAAAATGTCATCAATGTGGGTTTCATGTCCAGAGAGAAACCAGTGGGTGGCAGGCACTTTGTTAGTTTACACCTTTCAATTATACCAAGTAATATACTTCTTTCTGGGTTAAAAACACTTCTTTTCAGGAGGGTGCTCATAGAAACGTTCAAAAACTAGACTGTGGGGATAATATCACAACTTTGTGAATAGACTAAAAATCACTGAATTCTCTATTTAAAACAAAAAATGTCTGTGGTAACGTCAAAATTTGCTTTTCAAAATTGAATTCTACTATATGAAATTAATGTGTATATTGCAAATCTTTTCGATTAAACTTAACGTCTTTTGAGTCTAATTCAATAATTATTACATTATTTTTTAAAAGACTTTATTTTTAATTTACTTTTAGAGAGAGGGGAATGGAGGGAAAGAGAGAGAGAAAAATATCAATCAGTTGCCTCTCGCATGCCGCCATATGGGGACCTGGCCCACAACCGAGGCATGTGCCCTGATTGGGAATCAAACTGGCGACCTTTTGGTTCACAGGCCAGCAATCAATCCACTGAGCCACACCAGCCAGGGCTTACATTACTTTTAAGTTTTTCTCTGTAGCCCTCCACTGGGAATGTCTTCTGTAATCAATACTAACTTAGAGACTACCCTAAAACATTTTTTGCTCACTCAAGTTCTGTCAGGTAGACATAGTATCATGCAATTATGTTAGTAGTTTATATCATTTCACCTTTGTACCTAGAAAAAGGAAAACATGTCTCCTTACCATAGGAACAGTAAACCATTCTTGCCTCAATCCAACTCCATTTTGGATAATTTTTCCTATAAGATAATACAGTAAAAGTATATCTCCATCATATTTAAATACTCATTAATTGTTAATATTCTCCAGTGAAATAAGACATGTTTATTATAACCACAACTATGTACAAGGATAACCCATTTTAAAATGACAAGAGCTATCCCTAAAATTAAGTACAGATGTTCAGTAGTTGAAAGATAAAAATAATTCACCTTGTTAGGGTAGCACCACAGTTAAGAGACTTGCCTTTGCAGCCAGACAACAAAAACTCAAATCCTGATTCAGCCACTTTCAGGGATGCAATTGAATGTTTAAACCTGATTTTGTTTTAGGTTCTTTCATCTGAGGAAAGAGAATAACATCAGTACTCATTTCAGAGATTTCAAGATTCAATCATTTATTAGAAATTGCACATTGGTAACAGTGACTCTTACTCAAAGTGTGACATAAAACATAATAAACATCAAAATAAAGATCTCTTATGAAAGACACATTTATTATTTTGGGATGAGAACAAATTCTAGGTGGAGGACATTGGGTGCCAGCTGTCATGATATAGGACCACAAATTTCACTTTCCTTGCCAGGTCCACTAGCTCTGAATAGAAATATCAATCACTAAGAAATGACAGAACAGCTCCCAGACATTTGACAATAGCGATTAACTCCTTGTCACAAAAAAAGATGGCTGCAATCTTGGGGACTGTTTTCTACATCACTCTATTCCATTTACTTTATTGGTGGACCTCCACACACTTGATTTTCAAGTACCTGGCCAGGTTGAAAAAACTTCAGTTCACAACCTCGTATCATTTCAGTTCTTTCATTGAACCAAAGACCTAAAGGAACTCTCTTCCTATTTATGGAGCACTTACTTTGTCCCTGTCATCATTTTATGTACATTTTCATGTCACAAGTGTTCCAACACAGTCCACTGATTTATGTATCTCTTAGTGTGTTTAATGGGAAAAAATGGAAATGAAATATATAATCTGGGTCACAGTGAAGGAAAAAAATGCTAAGGAAAAAGAAATTTTAATAGTTCATAAATGAACAATGTAAAGGATTGCCTACTACTCTAATTTGTAATCAACATTTTCATAACCATTAAAAATTTGCTGTTTAAGTTGTTTAGTAATATTTCTTATCTAGTAAACATGACAAAGCATTAATTTTCCTTAAACTGGTGTAAAATTTTCCTATTAAGGGTTTAGATAAAGTAGTTTACGAGCATTTTCAACAACCATGTCCTACAATGGAACCCATGTGTGCAGCAGGAAAAGGGATATAATAAAATATTAGCAGGAAGAAAATTGAGGTATTTCCCAACCAAGATATCAGAAGTTTTGAGAGTAAACATTGTCTTATTAAAGACTGATTCCATTTGTTCATGTTTTACTATTGACATCTTTTTTTCTAATGCTCACCCCAGGACATGTTTATCGATTTCAGAGGGTTGGGGTGGGGGAGAGAGAGAAACATTGATGTGAGAAACACAGATGGGTTGCTCCAACCGGGGATTGAACCTGCATCCTTTTGGTGTACAGGACGACGTTCCAACCAAAAAAGCCACCCGGCCAGGGCTCTACTGATGTCTCTTAAGCCTCATGACATCTTCTCCCTATTTTGCCCATCTGCACAAACTGCTAATACAGCCTGAGTGGTCCCTCCTTTGCTGCTACCTGAAAGTTCAAACCATCATCAGGTACCTGCACCCCAGGCCCATCCTGTAAGCATGCCACACATCAAATTCCTCACCATTCCCCATTCTTTCAAGCCATTTATTTCACCACCTGGAAAAGTCCATCCTGCTCTAAGCTTTATTTTAGAAAAAAATCTCTTAAAGCTTTACTGTATGAGCTTATCAGTTGCGATACACAAACCAAACTCTGGATGGGGTTCCATCCTTTCCACTGAATGGTTACAAATTAACAAGTTTGAGGAGTAAATGTATGAATTTCTAGCTTATCAAACAAAAAAAAAGTTCCCACTGTATATTGGTCATCCAAAGTATTTCACCGAGGGCTCCAATCTCAAATCAAAAACTTTATTATTGGTTTGGCTGGTGTGACTCAGTGGGTTGAAAGCCAGCCTGTTAAAAAAAAGGGTTGAGGTTCGATTTCTAACCCAGGCACATATCTGGGTCCCCAATTGGGGGTGAGAGGCAATGATTCAATGTTTCTCTCACATCCATGTTTCTCTCCCTTTTACCCTCCCTACCCCTCTCTCTAAAAATAAATAAAATCTTTAAAAAATTTTTGTTTCCTTAGGAATTTTTGTCTTATTTTTCCATATGCTTACCATATTTCTATTTTCATTTCATGTACATAAAGGAACAGGCCATTATTTGTATTTAAGTATAAAGAAGAATAAAGAAATATAATCTTAGGGTACATATTCATGAATAATGAACAGGTTTTAGAGGTCAAAGTTTAAAATTACAATGGTACCATACTTTTATTACAGTATCAACATGTCATGACTCAGAATGTGGAAACAATAACTAAAGTGCAAATTTTGGCACCTTTGAAAATTAAAAATGTATCAATTGTACTTAGTTTGATTTTTTCAAGATTATTACATAGAAGGTTTATAAACAAATTGTACAACCTGAAAAAAAAATAGAATACTTTAATTCCAATCTCTATAAAATACTTATTCAAAAGTATAAATACAATTTTACCCTTTTACATTCAGATATGTAAACATTAACAAAAGCCAGTTTATTCTACTCCTCTTTTAAAGTATATTTTATTATGCTATTACAGATGTCCTAGTTTTTTCTCCCCTTTATCTTCCTCTGCCCTGCACGTCCCTTCTCACCAGAAGTCCCCCTGCCTTCGTTTATGTCCATGAGTCATACATGTAAGTTCTTTGGCTTCTCCATTTCCTACACTATTCTCAACCTCCCCCTGTCTATTTTGTTCCTACAATTATGCTTCTTATCCCCTGTACCTTTTCCCCATTCTTCCCTCTCCCACTCCCTGCTGATGATACTCCATGTGACCTCCATTTCTGTGATTCTGTTCCTGATCTAGTTGTTTGCTTAGTTTCTTTTTGTTTTAGCTTCAGTTGTTGATAGTTGTGAGTTTGTTGTCATTTTACTGTTCATAGTTTTGATGTTCTTCTTTTTCTTAGATAAGTCCCTTTAACATTTCATATAATAAGGCCTTGGTGATGATGAACTCCTTCAACTTGATCTTATCTGGGAAGCACTTTATCAGCCCTCCAATTCTAAATGACAGCTTTGCTGGATAGAGTAATCTTGGATGTAGGTCCTTGCCTTTCAGGACTTTGAATACTTCTTTACCGCTTCTTCTTACCTGCAAGGTTTCTTTTGGGAAATCAGCTGATAGTCTTATGGGAATTCCTTTGTAGGTAACATTCTCCTTTTCTCTTGCTGCTTTGAAGATTATCTCCTTATCTTTAATCCTGGGTAACTTAATTATGTTGTGCCTTGGTATGTGCTTTCTTGGATCCAACTTCTTTGGGACTCTCTGAGCATCCTGGATCTCCTGGAAGTCTATTTCCTTCACCAGATTGGGGAAGTTCTCCTTCATTATTTTCTCAAGTAAGTTTTCAGTTTCTTGCTCTTCCTCTTCTCCTTCTGGCACCCCTATAAATTTGCATGTTGGAATGTTTAAAGTTGTGCCTGAGGTTCCTAAGCCTCTCCTCATTTTTTTGAATTCTTGTTTCTTCATCCTGTTCTGGTTGAATGTTTCTCTCTTCCTTTTGCCCCCAATCATTGCTTTGGCTCCCGGTTTCCTTCCCTTTACTGTTGGTTCCCTGTATGTTTTTCTTTATTTCACTTTGCATAGCCTTCACTTTTTCCTCCATTTTGTGACCATGCTCAACCATTTCTGTGAGCATCCTGATTATTAGTGTTTTAAACTGTGCATCTGATAGGTGGGCTATCTCATCGCTTAGTTCTATTTTTGGAGCTTTGGTCAGTTCTTTCATCTGGGCCATATTTCTTTGTTTTGGCCTGCCTGTTATGTTGGAAGGGGTGGAGCCTTAGGTATTCACAAGGGCAGGGCAAGCCAGCTCCCTGCATTGTGGTGCTGTATGTGCGGGAGGGGACCAAAAGGGAACAGTGCCAGTTGCTTGGCTCTCCACCAACTTTCAGTCACTTCCCCTGCTACCCACAAGTAAATTGGGCCTTCCTGATGCTGATTCCTGGGTGGGTGAGTTTGTGTATATTCTATGACCCTGTGGGTCTCTCCAGTGAATTCTCCTGTTAGGCTGGAGTTTCTCCTGCCACCAGAACCCCCATAGGTTTTTACAGCCAGAGGTTTTGAGGCTTTCTCTTCCTACACTGGAACTCTGGATTTTGGGGATCTGTCTCACTCCCCAGATGTTCCTCATGGTTTATCCGCCTGCAAATATGGGACCACCAGGCGCACCAGCCACTGCCTCGCCCACCTGGTCCTCCAGCCTCCTCCTTGCCCTGCATCCTCTCTGCCCTGGCTGTCCATCTCTACCCCTCCTATTAGTCTGGATGAATGTTTCTTCTTTAGCTCCTTGGTTGTTGGACTTCCATACCATTTGATTTTGGGGCATTTATGGTTATATTTTGTTTTTAAATTTGCCATTGTCCTTCTTTTGGTTGTGCAAGGAGGCAAAGTGTATCTACCTATGACTCCATCTTGGCCAGAAGTCAGTATGTAAAATTTCTTGTACCTTGCATGTGTTCTTGTGTTTTGTAATTATTTGTTACATAAAACTTCATGTACCATAATATGTTAAAAAATAAATGCTAAAATTCCTTTATAATACAAAAAACAAGTATCCAAATATAAATAAATTATAAATCAAATTAAAAATTATAACAAAAAGATTTTCCCTGAAAAGTGTGGACCAAAAACACGGGTGTGCATTATACACAGAAGTGCATTATACATGGCAAAATACAGTAATTAAAATGACGACGAGAATTAGCTTTCTGAGGTAGAATGCAGCTTAGTGTGGTCTTTGTCAGTTCCACCATGGCGAACTGTGGCCAGGGCCAGAAAGTGCAGAAGGTAATGGTGCAGCCCATCTCCAAATACTTGCAAAACAGATTTCGGATCCAGGTGTGGCTTTATAAGCAAGTGAATATGCAGGCAAATGGCTGTATCATTAGTTTTGATGAGTACATGAACCTCGTATTGGATGATGCAAAAGAGAATCATTCTAAAACAAAGTCAAGAAAACAACTAGGTCAGATCATGCTAAAATGAAATAATATTACCCTCCAACTAGAAGTGACTATGAAGTGAGAAGTTTTTGAGAAGCAATACAGTTTGTGTTTTTCACGTGTTCTTTGTTGGGAATATAATTCTTAAACGTTTATTCATATTGCTTTGATTACCCTTTTGTTATTACCAAATGACAATAAGTGTGATTGATTAAAAACTTTTTTTAAATGACACCAATAAAATTGGGTAAAAAACCAGTCATGAAAAAGGAACATTTCACCAAACACTTCAATTATCAAAAAGGACTGGGTGCACTTCCTATGACATTACAGTGGAGAAAGGAGACTGACCAGAGCCCCTGACTAAGCAGACACCAGTAGAATAGGGAAAAGGAGGAAAAAATAGATTGCTACAGAAAGTCAAAGAGCTTGAATTGTAAAAATTCACAATCTAAGAATAGAGGTTAGGTAAAAATTAAAAGAGGAAATCACATCCTAAAAAGAGCTGGGGTGGCTACATTCAAAGACAACACAGACTGTAAGATAAAAACTCTCACAAAAGACAAAGAACATTATTGTACAATGATAAACAGCTCCCTCCACCAGGAAATTATATGCATATAACATTAGAGCATGCAAATATATGATGTAAACATTGGGAGAAATGCAAATAGAAATAGGCACCAGCACAGTTATCGTAGTGGACTTCCTTTCAGTCTTAGTTATGGATACAAGGAAAGAAAAGATTAATAAGGAAGCAGAACACCTGAATTACACCACAGATACATGGAACCTATAAAAATATACTGAATGCCGCACAAAACACCAGCAGAAAACATTCTTCTTAAGCACACATGAAACACTCTTCATGAAAATCCACAAAACCAATATTAAAAATGTTGAACAAATTGAGTTTGTGAAAGGTATCTATCTTCTCTAACCACTGTGATATTAAACAAGAAACTAATCCAGAAACCCCCCAAAAAACCTACAAAATGTGGAAAGTAAAATATCATTTTTAAATAACCAATAGTCCAAAAAAGAAATGACAACAGAATTTTAAAAAATCTAGATGAAAATAAAAATACAACATAATAAAATTTACAGAATGCAGTGACAGCAGCACTAAGAGGTAAGTGGAAGTAGTTACATGAAAAAAAATAAAGATTTCAGCCCAAACTGGTGTGGCTCAGTGGGTTGGGTGTTGTCCAGCAAACTGAAAGGTCATCCTTTTGACTCCCTGGGCAGGGAACATGCCTGGGTTGTGGGCTTGTGAAAGGCAACGAAGATCAATGTTTCTCTCCCTCTTCCTCTCCCCTTTTCCCTCTCTCTAAAAATAAATAAATAAAAACTTTAAAAATAAATAGAGATCTCAAACTGGAAATCTTTTACACCTCAAAAAAATTTTTAGTAGGACGGAAGTAAATAAGAAATATTAGAGATCATTAAAATAGAAAAACCATTATGAAATCCACAAACTAAGAGTTGTTTTTTTGAACCAATTAACAAATTTACAAATGCTTACCTACACTCAGAAAAAAAAGACAAAAGATTCAAATAAATCAGTAATGAAAGAGGGACCATTCCAACTGATGTCACAGAAACTTCAAACTATTTTAAGATAATCATATTAACTATTATATACCAATTACATAACCTAGAAGAGTAAATTTCTAAACACAGACAAGGACCATTCATGACAAAATTAAAAATGTGAAGGAAATTATAATTAGGCAGATTCAAGAAGTAATCAAAAACATGCAACAACAACAACAAAAACCTAGAACAGATGGCTTCACTGCAAAATTCTACCAAGCACTCACAGAGGAATTAACAAAAACTGCTAAAATTCTTCCAAAAATTTCCAGAGACAACATTGTAAACTCATTCCATGGAGTTCGTATGATTCTGATAGCAAACCCAAGAAAGGCACAAGAAGAAAAAAAAAAACTACACAGGCTAATACCTTTAGTAAATATTGATACAAAAATACTTGTAAACCCAGTTCAACAGCACATGAAAGCAATTATACATCATGACCAAAAGGAATTTATTACTATAAGACAAGAATGTTTCCACATACAAGAACCAATTAATGTAACCCACCACATGAATAGGATGAATAAATGGGAAAAAATATGATCTCAAAGGATGGAGAAAAAGCACTGGACAAAATTCAACAACCTTTTAAAAAAGTATTAATAGTAGACCACCTCAACATTAATAAAAGCCATATTTGAGAAACAAACAGGGGAGCATTTGAGATCCTGCTCCCCAGTTTATGTCATTAGTTTGGCACAAATAAACTCTTATAAAAATTTACTTAAAAAAAAAAGTAACATAGCTACTGTGATACTCATTGGTGAAATTTTGAAAGCTTTAGCAGCTTGATGACAAAAAAGGCAAGGATCCATACTTTCGGCACTCGCCAAAGTACTGCCAGTAATAGCCAGGCCAATTAGACAAAAGGAAAAAAAAGTCCAATTTGAGAGGAAGTAAAATTATCTTTTATCGCAGATGAAGAAATCTCACACGCATAAAACCATAAAGATTCCACAAACAAAAAATTTTACAAATTAGAAAACTTTTATAGAAAAGTTACAATTAAGACTCCAAAAAAGAAACTTTAAAAACCTATTTACTAGAGCATCCAAAAAGTACGAACACATAGGAATAAACGTAGCCAAGAAGGTGTAAGATTTATACACTGAATACGACAAAACACTAGTAAAGCAAAGGAGATACACATAAATAGAGAGATAGTCCTCATTTATGGATCCCAATTGGTTGTAAAAATATTCATGTCCCTGAATCATGGTGAGATGGAATTTAAGCAGAGATGAGAGGCACTGAGGGAAGGCCCAGGCTGAGTGTGAACAAACAAATGTCAGGCAAGACACTTCAGAGTCAGAGATCAGCAAGTCAAAGTCCATTTCAGGGAAGACAGGCACAACTACTGAGAATATGACTTTAGTTGAGAAAGAGCCATTGCTGAACCCTTTTTCTTTCCTCTTCTGGGTCTCTTCCTCAGGAAACGAGAGCCCTTAACAGTGAATCTGGCAAGTTGAAAATATGCTGTTTATCCACATACCCCCTTTCTGTGCCACAGCCCCCGCCCCTGCCCACAGTAATGACCCCACCACGTGAAAGAGACGGTGTCTGCTGCTCACAGCTAAAGGAGAAATTCAAGGGCAGTAAACTGCTTTCAGAGACACACAAATGAGTTTTCCCACCACTTTTTACAGATCAGGCTGCCCTCCTGGTGACACATTCATTCATTCATCTCTCTCTCTCTCTCTCTCTCTCTCTCTCTCTCTCTCGCTCGCCAGCAGTGGGGACATCCGTGGAAACTACACTCCCCTTTGGGTCATAAATCAGCCCTGATCAAAACCCAAGCAAAGCAGCGACTACGAAAGGGATGCCTGAGAAGCTGAGGGACTGGGCTAGAGGAGGACAAGACGATTGGGGCGTGGAGGAGATCTTTCAGGACAGGGGTGAGGTCTCCAGAATCCCAGTACCGAAAAAAAGACCTAGCCTCTCCCAGAGCCGGGTGGGGATGTAACAGAACAGCAAGCTGGGGTCCTGCTACCTGCTGCCTCCCTCAGGCAAAATTCCAGAGGCAAAGCTTTGGTGATAAACTGATAAACGAAAGGAGTCTTTATTCAAAAGCTTCACAATTTTGGAATAACAGCCTTCCACAAGAATTAGTCCCTTAGGCCTATCGATTAAGAGTAATCTCTTTATCTTTTTAGTTGCCGCTTTAATCACTTAAACCTTTCAATTAAGGGTAATCCTAACACCTGATTTCTCCTATCATTCTGTTTTCTTATTTCCATAGGATTAGTTTACAAACTAAAACAACGTAGGATACAAAAGCTACACAATTTTGGAAGAATGATAGGCTCTGCCTCAGAGCCTGTTCCCTCCCAAGAACGCCCCCCCTCACCCCCCCCCCAAACATAACCGGCCACCCTCTGCCAGGCCAGCCCGATCCCAGGCTACGAGGAGTTCTTTCCCATCCAAAATACCGCCTGTTAGGAAATGCAGGGCAATCACGGCACGACCGTCCAGGTATCCTCGAAAAAAAGGCCTAGAGGCGAAGAGCCCCTGAGCCAGGTCTTCCTTTCCGTGCACTCGCGAGGCGTTCAGCTTCTCAGCCAATCCCGTGCTAGACTGTTTATCATTGCCTAGCAACCTCCTCCTATGGTCCCTCCCACTTCTCCCCAGTGATCTCTCACGTCTTTGTATCTGGGATGCTACCTCGAGAGGCCGGGTGAGCGAAGGTGTGGGTCGCGAATCCATCTCCCTGGGGGACTTTAATGGCACCCGAAAGCCACAGACATCAGTAAAGGGTAAGAAGGGAAATGACACTAACGCAGAAAAGTAGAAAACAATGAGGAGCTCGGCAGCCATTTTAAATCTTAAGGGAAGCGCCGGGCCTCTCAGCGCACCACCTGAGTTTACCTGGGCGGCAGGGCCGGCTGAGGGGACTCTAAAGACCATGATGGCCACCACACTCTGAATGAAAATTGGCTTGTGACGCGCTGGTGTAAGCTACAAAGGCAGAAACGCTCCGCAGTGTGATTTCCAACGTCTCTCACTTTTCGGGTTCAGACAAAATGACGACGGGAGGGAAAAAGGGGACGTGCCGTGGGCGGAGTCTGGGCCGAGCGCCCGAGTGAAGGTGGGAGCTCTAGGGAGGCTGGGCTCGGGCTCCTTTCGCGAGAAAGTGAACCGACAGTTGCTGAAGGAGCGTGGCCTGTGCGTCGGTAGTGCGAGACTGGGGCCTGCTTAGAAGCCAGGCATGCCCAGTAGCCGGGGGAATGAATACTGGAGAAAACCGGCGTAGAGCAGAGACTTCGAGATTAGCGAGGCTTGCGTTTGTTGTGCGGGAATCAAAATAAAAATCCCGGTAGGGATAAGGGGTATCAATGTCTGTGGCTTTACTGGAGCTTGCGAGGCCTGGGACGCACAGGGACCGCGAGGAACCCAAACTCAATCTGTGTGAGAACCAGGTTGGGGTGGGAAGGGGGCAGGCCCTGAGCGTCTCTGTACTGGCTCCCAAAGTGCCTTTTTCTGTTTTAAAGAATTACAAAAAAATTTTTTTTTACTTACCATTCGAGGATTTTTATTATTGATTTTTGAGAGAGGGAGACAGATGCATTGATTTCTTAAAATTTTTTATTTATCCATTTTACAGAGAGAGAGAGAGATCAAATTATTTATACATCCAATGATTGATTCTTATATGTGCCCTTACCAGGGATCAAACCCCTAGCCCTGGCATATCAGAACAATGCTCTTTGAGCTACCCAGCCAGGGCTAAAACAGTGATTTTGTTGTTCCACTTATTTATGCATTCAGTGGTTGATTGTTGTATGTATCCTATCCAGGGATTGGTCCTACACACTTTGCCTATATATCAGGGGAAGGAACACTTTATGAAGTATGATTGTTTAACTAATATGCCTGTACACCTGAAACTAATATAAAATACTATCGAATGTAAACAGTAATTTAAAAATACATTTTTAAAAAAATGCTGTGTCTTTTGTGTATGTGCCTCAATGTGGCTTCCTAATTACCGTATTTTGGCATGTATAATGTGCACTTTTTTTACCCAAAGTTTTGAGGGGAAAAATAAGGATGTACATTATACATGGGTAGTACTAATTCCATATCTATATAAATGTTTTTAATTATGCCTGTGCCTTAAAAGTGTAACTCTCAAAAAGCAATAACAATATCTGTATGCAAAATAATGCCCTGGAATATGATAATTAGTTTTGTTTCTAAATATAAATAAAAAATTGAATTAAAAAATTAAAACGAAAGATTTTTTTCCTTAAAGTTTGGGCCAACAACATGGGTGCGCATTATACATGGGAGCACATTATACAAGGCAAAATACAGTATTTTAAGTTACATTGTCCATCAGTTTTAAGATAAAAGCTTAGAGTTATGTGAGCCACTTGTGTTGGAAACTAAGTTGTTTTCCTCTTTATAGCCAAAGAGGTTTAGATAAAAAAACTCATGAGGCTGAAGCTATTCTACAGGAACTTGGATTTCAGCAAGGGATTGAGGGTGGGGAGGAGGTTGGATGCAGGAACATTTCTGCAATTAGAATTAATCTAAGCGGTTTTATTAAACAAAAACTGCAATAGTCTGTGTAAGGATTAAGAATGAGAATGTGAAATACATAGCTCTCCCTGGGTAGAATATGCAACTTCATCCTGACACCCAGCAGCATTTCCTTTCTACACCCCATTCACCAGGGAGGCCAAGAGTCAGTACAGCTCTAGAATCTTTCACAGGGACACAACCTGGGATATGAGATGTGGATAGCTAAAGCATGTGATCATTTAGGACAATAAACATTGCTTTAAAAAGAAAAGTAACTTTTTAAAAAAATTGTTATAGATTGCATTAAAATAAATGTTCTTTTGTACCACACTTGAAATAAATTATTTTGAAATACCTTTGAGATAAACTTCTTCACATTATAATATACTTATGTCAGTCATATCTGAATAAAATGTAACTTCAAATCATTATATGCTCCTTCAGGGAGTAACTACTTTAAAAAAAGGTTTATTGGTTTTAGAGGGAGGAAAGGTGAAAGAAAGAGAAACATCAAAGTGAGAGAGACACAGTGATTGTCTGCCATAGGCAACCTGACCAGGGATCAAACTTGGTGGATAGGTATGTGCCCTGACCTAGAATCAAACCCCCAACCACTTGGTGTACAGAGCCACACCAGCCAGGGCTACAACATTTACTTTTTATTTTATTTTAAGATTATATTTATTTATTTTCAGGGAAAGGGAAGGGAGGGCAAAAGAGAGGGAGAAAAACATCAATTGGACAAAGAGACATCAATTGGTTGCTTCTCCCATGTGCCCTGATAGACTAGGGGCCATCTGCAACCCAGGATCCCTGACCAGGAATGGAATCAGTGGCCTTTAGCTTTTCCAGACAATGCCCAACCAACAAAGCCACACTGGACAGGGCAGCACAGGGGTTTTTTTTGTTTGTTTGTTTTTTTAACACTGGATTTCCAAAGTTTAAAAAGAGAAAGTAAAGCAATCATCAGTGGTTCAGATAAAAGCAAAGCATCTTTACCTGAGAGTTACCCATCAGGCCTGCTCTGATCTGCCTGAGCACCTGCCAAAAGAAGTTTCAGGGTATCTAAAAACTGTTTACGTGTTGACTCCATTGAAAGTCACCACCATATGGTTCAGCTAACTAAGAGCATGGTTATTCTTTATTATGAGTACACTGTCCATGATTAGATTGCTTACTAGAGCAAAACTCTCTGGAGAGTAGGTTCTTTGGGGTCCAAAGGTAGAGGTGAACTAACTTTTTCCATGTCATTACTTTCACTCTGATCTGAGGTGGGTCTCTTGTAGACAGTATATCTATAGGTCTTGTTCTATCCCTTCAACAACCCTGTCTTTTGATTGGATCTTACGATATAATGATCTGATGTCTGTGCTTTTGTGGTTTACAGAATGGAGGCTAATTATTTAGCAAACACGAAATACAATAATTTTATGCTCTTAGAAGTCAATCGATATTCTCTCTCCTCCCCCCCCCCCCCGCTTTCCTCTGTCTCTAAAATCAATAAACTTATCCTTGGGCGAGTAGTTAAAAAAAAAAAAAAAAGAAATGAGTTGTCTATACTTTTTCCAATATCTCTGATCACTTTTTTATTTCAACCACATCATCACTTCTACCTCTGGCTACATACATCAGGATTTTAATACACTGACACCATATTTTCCTTAAGTCATTGGTAAATGAAGTTAAAATTCATAATGCTCCACAGTCTTACACTGATGCAAAAAAAAAAAAAAAAAAAGTGCCCTTCATGGTGACATATAACAACATTCTAAGTCAACCAAAAACAACATCTCTATTTAGGCTTTTTCATACATTGTGCATTATATATGTCCTCAATCTTCCCTGGAAAAGTAGATATGAGTGAAACTCACTTAATATACAAGAATTCACAGATCTTTAAAAAAGCAACATTCAAACTCATCACACAGACGCTAGGAATAAAAACAGTAATATTAACTATTATGAGTGGAATTACATAAATATTTTCTTCTCAAAATAGCTCATATAGAATACACTGTAATACATATAGAAACATCCATTCCCTTGATATTCTGAAGCAAACAAAAGTCCTTATTTGAGTTTTTAAAAATTGAATTATTCTGTATAAGAAGTATTCTGATTTATAATAATACCTAAAAACTGTTGTTGACCATCCTTTTGTGAATTCAGTGATATTTTAAAATTCATATTCAATTACAAACTTTTGCAAATTCTTTACATCTTTAAAGTCACTTTAAGGCATAAATTGGGCTTTTGTGAAGTGTATAATGTGAACAAAAGTTTTTCATCCTTTATTATGAATGTAGAGTTCTTCCCCAATGTGCAATCCCTGAATATTGAGTGAGGTTGTAGGTCCAGCCATAAGGTGTTCCACATTCTTTACTTTTAAAGTTTCTAATATAAATTTTTGTGTGTTGAATAAGCTGTGAATGCTGAATAAAGTCTTTTCATCTTCTTGATTGTATTTTTTTTGTATGAATTCTAATGTTGAGTAAGGTTTGCATCCTGGGTAAGGCCTTGACTACATTATTTTTGTTAGTCTTCAATGCAGTATTAATGATCAAATGTTGACAGAAATATGATTGAGGATAAAGACTTGGGAACACGTGTTACATTTATAAGGCTTATTTTTCTGATGCTCAACAAGGCTTGAACAAAGATTAAATATTGTGCCAAATTATTTACATTATTATTGTTACTCTCCAGCACGAATTCTGCAATGTTGAGCAAGTTTTGAGCACAGGTTAAAGGCCTTGCCACATTCTCTACATCATAAGGTTTTTCTCCAGTGTGAATTCACTCCTGTTAGTATGAAACCACTGCTGATTAAAGGCTCTGGCACATGCAGTACATTTATAAGGCTTCTCTCCTGTATAAATTCTCTGATGTTTGTGTAAGAAGCTAATGGGAGTTAGTTTTGCCCCATTCTTTATACTTACAAGACTTCTGTCAAGAATGAATTACCTACTTTTTAGTGAGATTTGTTCTCAAGCAAAGGTTTTACCACACCCCTTACAACTGTAAGGTTTCTCTCCAGTATGAACTCTCTGATGTGCAGTAAGTTTTGAACGCTGGGTAAAGGCTTTGTCACATTTTCTACATTTATAAGGCTTCTCTCCAGTATGAATTCTGTGATGTTCTGTAAGGGTTGAGGAAGCCCTAAAGTCTTTGCCACATTCTCTACACTTGTAAGGCTTCTCTCCAGTATGGATTCTCTCATGTCGGGTAAGACACCACCGCTGATTAAAGGCTTTGTCACATTTTCTACACTTATAAGGCTTCTCTCCCGTATGAATTCTCTGATGTTCAGTAAGGGTTGAGGAAGCACTAAAGGCTTTGCCACATTCTATACATTTGTAAGGTTTCTCTCCAGTATGAATTTTCTCATGTCGAATAAGACACCACTGCTGATTAAAGGCTTTGGCACATACACTACATATATAAGGCTTCTCTCCAATATGAATTTTTTGATGGTGAGTAAGTTCTGAGTGATAGATAAAGGCTCTACCACAGTCTCTACATTTGTAACGTTTCTCCCCAGTATGTACTCTTCTCTCATGTTCAGTAAGATATGAATGCCATTTGAAATCTTTCCCACATTCTCTACATTTGTAAGGCTTCTCTCGAGAATGAGTTATTTGATGTTTAGTAAGGTATGAATACCACAGAAAGGCTTTTCCACACTCCTTACATCTGTAGGGTTTCTCTTCACTATGAATAGTCTGATGATGAGTAAGTTTTAAGGAGCATTTAAAGGCTTTGCCGCATTGTCCACATTTGTAAGGCTTTTCACCAGTATGATTTCTCTGATCATCAGTAAGGGTCGAGGACCGGCTAAAGCCTTTGCCACTTTCTCTACATTTATAAGTCTTCTCTCCAGTATGAACTCCCTTACGTTGAGTAAGCGCTGAACGCTGGCTAAAAGCTTTGCTGCACTCTCTACGTTTATGAGACTTCTCTCCAGTATGAATTCTCCAATGTTCAGTAAAGTTTGGGGACTGGATAAAGGCTTTGCTACATTCTCTACATTTGTATGGTTTCTCTCCTGTGTGAGTTCTCTGATGTTTAGTAAGCTCTGAGGGGCAGATAAAGGGTTTCCCACATTCTAAACATTTATAAGACTTCGCTCCAGTATGAATTCTCTGATATTGAGTAAGTTTTGAAGACTGGCAAAAGCCTTTGCTGCATTCCCTGCATTTGCAAGGCTTCTCTCCAGTATGAATTATCTGATGTATAGTAAGACCTGAAGGCCAATTAAATGTTTTACCACATTCTTTACATTTGTAGAGTTTACCACTAGTATGGCTTTTCTTATGTCTATTCAGATTGAATATTCGACTGAAGATTCTCCCATGTTGATTACATTTGTAAGCTTCCTCCCCAGAATGAATATTCTCTTGAGTATGATTTGAAGATTCCTTAAAAGATTTTATATATTTACTTTGTTTGTTTGTCTTTTCTACTGCAATAGAAATAATCTGTTTTGTACTGTGATTTGACTTTTGGTTAAAGACTTTACAAGGGTTCTCTGGAAGCTGGGTTCTCTGATGTTTATTAGGATTTGGCTCTTCATTAAAGTGTTTCCAATGTTCATTGAATTGGTAACTTCTGTCTCCATTATATGTACTCTGGTAATTATTGAAGATAGAAAGGGCTTTAGTGACACTTATAACTTGTTTAAACATGTACACTTATTCCCAAATAACTATTCTTTGATACCTATTAAACCATGATGTTGTATTAAAAAACATTCTATGTTTATAAAAACTATAGGCATTGGAATACAAAAACATTATTTAACAATGGAAAAATAATGATTTCCTGATCAAGAGATCGCCAGTTTCATCACATTTTAATTTGGTATGTGCACTATAAATCTCTAAATTTTAGGCATGACTGACTGAGAGGTTAATCCTATCCTACATTTCAAACAATAGAAATCGTTATTCAAACCATGGATTATGTGAGTTCCAAGATTTTCCACATTTCCTTTTCAAGAACATACACCCTTAGAAAATTTGTTTTTCAGTTTTCACATAGAAACTCATTGATCTGCAAATGTAACTGACTTAATGTGAGTTTTTCCAAATGTGTAATATCTTTGACTTCTTTAGGTAACAATAATTTTATTATGAATAATTGTCCCAGGTTAGTTCTGGTCATATTAACATCCTTTCTTCTTGTTCCTCAAATTCAAAGGCTTGCATTAAGTGTACATTATCAAAGCCACACCTTCCATATCTTACCAGTGTTATTTTAGAGAATAAATCTCCTATTCCTGGCTTTCGTAACAAGGCCTGGTTGTCATCAGATGACATAGCTGAAAGATATGAAATCAGTTTTCATAGTTAGGACACTCAGGTGAACGTACTTTTAATCTCTCAGCAATTATACACAAAATTACACTTCTGAGTATTCCAAAAGCAAGTTAGGAGTTGAAAGCAAGCCCACAAAAGGTACAATAAAAAATCCAAGTAATCCAAGAAATTTTTTCAGCTATTAATATATTTCAGCTATTCTTTTTTAAAAAATTTATTGGGGTGACACTGGTTTACAAAAAACACACAGGTTTCAAACCTACAACTCAATAAATCATCTGCACACTGCTATTTCAGCTATTCTTAACAAAATGTGTAGGCTGAAATCCATCCTACAGAAAAAAAAAGAGCCTTCATTTCTAAATAAAAGAATCATAACAAAGTTGTAAAATATGCAGAGAATAACTGATATTTTAAAATACATTTGTTTCCATTTTCCCAAAATAACAGATGTTTAAAACATTTGAGATTAGTATATCATTATTAAGAGACATGCTCAATAAAAGTTAGATTTAAAAATAAATGCAAGCTAAAAAATAAAAAAAGGACACATGCTGAGGAAAACAAATGAAAACCTAATCATTCCTGTTGCCTGAACTAAACTTAAATTGAGGAATAAAACATTTTCCTAAAAAAGGGGGGGCCAGGGAAAGGGAAGGGAAGGGGAAAGTCAAGGAACATATAGCAAGGACTCATGGACAAAACCAAAGGGGAAGAGCTGAGGGAGGGAAGGTGGGAGGGGGCAAGGGAAAGAGGTGGGGGGAAGGCAGAGACAAATGTATTTAAAAAGTAAATAAATTAATTAAAAAAAAAAAACAAAAAAACATTTTCCTAAATATGAAATGTCTAAGAATTCTGTAACTCGCTTCTTACTAAAGGAGAACATTCGAGCATGTTTTATCAGCACTTCTGAATCTAAAGGCAGAAATTTGACAAAGATCTAATCACAAAGTGAAAAAACACAGGACATAGCTTGGAGCAGCTTTGGACTGAATGAGAGAATGATAACATGACAGTGATGAAGAAGTCAGGTAACAACAGAGACTTTCCTACGTGGTGGACAATGTTCTAAGGTCGCCTATGGCAGTAACTTATCGAAGAATTCTATGAGGTAAATGGACACAGTCAACTATTCGAACATGGAGAAATTGGAGAATACAGACTAGAAATTTATGTTAGTTAATACAAAGCAAAAGGGCATTTTGAAGGAAAAAAGATAATTAGATTTCCTCATTTTCAGGTTGAACATTGGGCTGTGATGAAATCAATGAGTCTAAACTTTGTAGGGTCTTATGTGAAGCCTCCATAGGATTAGAAATAATAAATCAGAAAACATGACACCTGTCCCAAATTCCTGGGATTCTGCACCAAATTCCAGAATCTCAACCACTTCCTTTTATAAACTCTCTACATGAAACAAACCCCTCCCCCCAACTTAAAACAAAAACAAAAACAGAAAAGGCTTAATGTTGGGAGCTGGCCAACAGCCTGGACCCTGGCAGCTTAATATACAATTCCTCAGCATCATGAACAGATATTTCCAGGTCCCCAAAGCAATGGAAGAGGAGTCAGACCATAGCAGCCCTCACAGTCGAAGGGGAGGACTTTGTTCCCACAGCTAATGTGATGATGGAGGTCACTAGAGCGGAAGCAGAGTCTTGAGAGGTTAAAGGACCAAGGCACATTTTGCAAATGAGCTCTCTCTGGGCTTCTCAAAATCTTTTCCACTGAAGCACAGCTTTCCAAATCACACTTTACGGTCTGGCTTCTTTTGTGACCTTTAGGCCTCTCAACTGTGTCACCTGCTTCCCATTCTCACTTACCTGGGTGGACAGATATTTTTTCCCCCTTCACATCCCAGTATTCCTTCATTTGCTCCAAAAAGGGGACCAGGACTGGCTTAGAGACAACAACACCTGTTTATCAGAAATAACATGAGTTTTGATAGAGATTCTCCCATTTCCAATTCAGTTTGTGCTCAGGTAAGAAGACATGGTATAATATTAGAATATTCCAGAATATGATTTTCCAAAATACTGTTTTCTGTTAGCACCTTGATTATTCTAGACAACATGTAAGGTCTTCAGACACTGGGTTTCTGTTTCACATATATCACAAAGCTTTTCTTTTTCTTTTTTTTAATGTTTATTGATTTTTTTAAAGAAATTGTTGTTTTATGACAGTTGTCCCAGTTTTCCCCTGGGGCTTTTCTTTTCTATACCAGAAAAATCCCCATTTCTTCCTTGAGAGCAGGGACCTAAAAGTCTACCATACAAAGCAGAAGGTACAAGGAGACATTTTTCTCATGAAGGAAACAAAACCCTGTGGGTGAAGTTGGAACTCTGAAAGGAAACCATCCTCACCCAGGGAGACCAGGTTCCTGTAGTTCTCCAACATCACATCCACGTACAATTTCCGCTGAGCTGGGTCCAGGCACTCCCACTCCTCCTGAGAGAAATCTACAGCCACATCCCTGAAGGTCAATGACCTCTGAAAGAAACGACATTTACCAAAGGGCCACCGGCAGAGTTCATAATGTAACTGAACTTGAAAACAGTGTTAGGAGAAGTGGTTTTGACCTAGGATGGTATCCTGAATCATCCAGTAAGATCATTGTGACCCAGTAATATTCTCCTATGTATTTTCCAACACTGACAAATGAGGATGACAAATGTCCACAAACCCACTGCACAGACAGTACTTTTCAGGAAAATGAGCTTTAGAATGAAGGCATCGCCTTGACCACTGTGGCTCAGTTGGTTGGGTGTTACTCTGCAAAGCAAAAGGTTGCTGGTTCAATTCTTGGTCAGGGCACATGCCTGGGTTTGGTCCCTGGTTGTGGCACATATGAGAGATAACTGATTGATGTTTCTCTCCCACATTGGTGTTTCTCTCCATTTCTCCCTCCCCTCCCGTATCTAAAAAAGTTAATAAGAAAAATGAAAAAAAATTAAATGAAGTCATCAACACAGGCACATGGATTTCTAAGAGTTGTAATTCTATCATTCAGAATCAAGTGTGTGTATTTCTGAGGTGTAGAACACATAGTGAGTTGGAAGTGTAAGGACTTCAAGTTTAACACAGACAACAAAGAACTGCAGTTTCATAAAAATGCAGATTCTGATTCAGGAGTTCTGGGATGGGACCTATGTTTCCACATATTTAAGAAGCTCACTATTTACTACTGATGCCAGTACCTCTGGTCCATGTGCCATACTTCTGAATAGCACAAAAAGGAAAACAGAAATTCATAGATCACTTTGAGCTGAAAGAGTTTCATAGAATTTATAGTTCTCATAAAACAGGAAGCATAGCAACCACAGTCCTTTTTGATAATGTAGTATATACTAGATATCATTTCAGGAGTTTTATATATATTAATGTTTAATATATATAAGTAATCTGAGGAAAAAGATTATTTTTTATCTGTTATAAGAATATTTTCCTGGTTGGTGTGGCTCAGTGGATTGAGCGCCAACATGCAAACCAAAGGGTCACAGGTTTGATTCCCAGTCAGGGCACATGCCTGGGTTGCAGTCCAGGTCCCCAGAAAGGCCTGTAATGTGCAAGAGGCAACCACACATTGATGTTTTTCTCCCTCTCTTTCTCTCTCCTTTCCCCTCTCTCTAAAAATAAATAAATAAAATATTTAAAAAAATATCTTGTGAAACTTCCAGTAAACAGTAGATCTTGAGTTTTAATTCAAACTATAGAATATTTCAAAAAACACAGACCAATACACACGAAGAAGTGTCATGAACACTTGAGGCAGTTTCTGTAAGTGAGAAGAGTAACAGAAACATCCTAAGCAAGTAAGGAGAAAGAATAGCTCAAGTAATGTTAACATTTTATGCCCACAGACATATATATGGAAACTATGAGCACATTAACAGTGACAGGGAAAAGAATTTTCACATCAATGACATCAAGATTATTTTGTGATTCTTCAAATTTCATCAATCTTTTTGTGGATGATACCCTGTGTTTTATAAACACAATAGGGTAGGAACACAAAATAAAACAGAGTAAGTTACAGCTACTGTTTCTTAGTCTTTCATTTCTTTGAAAATTTCCATGTACTGTTTTTGGTGAGCTATATCTTAGAAATTTAACTGATTTGAACATATATTAATGATATGACTCCTATAAACTTTCATGAAAATACAAAAAGGGATAAAGTGAAATATGTCTGTAACACGATTGTGGAATGTGACTAAAATTTACTTAAAATTTTTAACCTGATTGGTTAAAGTCTCCACATCAACAGCCAATAATGTCTAGGAAAGAAAAGTAGGGTCTTCAACCCTGGTCCGGTAGGTGAGCTGGTTAGTGTGTCAATCCTATATAACAAGAATCTGGGTTTGATTTCCAGTCAGGATACATACAAGACTCAACCAATGAATGCATAAATAAGTGGAATAACAAATCGGTGTTTCTCTCTCCCTTCCTTTCTCTCTAAAATCAATAAATACAATTTTTTAAAAAAGTGGGGCCTTCATTTTCCAAAGCAAACAGAAACTAGGGAGACAACAGAAGTTTCCAGATAAAATGTGACAGTTTTTTCACATCTCTCAATAATTCCCTATTAGACTCTTGTTAATGATAGAGAAACTATTAACTCTATAATGAAGTGAGCACCTCAGTCAAGTGACTATCAGGTGGACTGGAACAATGGATGTCTGGTGACTAAGGCAAAAGGACGGACGTGTCATTACTGTTGTGACATTACTGGCAAAAATACATATATAAGGAAATCATAATCTAAATATGATCACAAAAAATACATTAGTTTTTGCAAATGTAAGTCCACACATACCTTCTATGTTCTGTAACTCTATAATGCATTTAAACAGTAAGTCTTCCTGACCAGTCAAGTGAGCAAGCCTATTCTATCTACTCTTCTTCGTCAGAACTTTCTGAGCTATCCTGACCAGTAAAATGTGCATTTTCTTACCCCTCGTTTACAGAACTGATGCTGCAGCCACATAAACCTAAAACCTACATGTCCCTTCTTCATCGATACCCGAGCCTCTGAGTCCATCCCAACAGGGATGCTGGACATGGGTGCCTTCCCAGGTTGATCTGTCAGAGAGGGGATGTGTACAGTAGTTGAAGGTCATTAATTAAAGGCAGGAATTCTTCATGACCTTGGGGAGGCTGGACAAAGAGAATGTAGAGAAGGCTCTGGGACAAAGGAGAAAAGTATATAAACTGATGACCTAGACAATCACAAAAAGAAAAGAAAAAATTAAGTATCTGAAAACAACATCACAAGGAAAAAAACCATCACAACTAGAGGATTAAAGGTTGCAGGTTCTAAATCCACTGATGTTAAAAGGGAAAGCAGACATGGCCTCTGACCCAGGACATATCTTTTACCTGAGAAGCAGCCATGTTGTCCTGGTCCTGGTCCTGCTCTGGATTGTTTTCTCAGGGGACGATATGCTGATGAGTCATGTCTGCATTTTGAGGATGTGCCTTCAAAGGCGTCCACACAGCCCCTTCCTCCACTTCTACCACACTCACAGGCAGAAGGACCTGGAAAGCTGAAAAAGCCATGCTCTCCTGTCCTTTTTCATAGGAGAGTCAGGAACAATAAGCTTCTGCATGGAGACCACACTGGGAGTTTTTTCTTTCTGTTTTCAGGTGCTCATTCCTCCCACAGATGTCCACAAACTCCTACAGCAATGAGAACATGTGCTGCTCTCCTGAACCCTCAACCCCAACAGAGTACCCATTATCTCCTCTAAACAAAGCCTGCTCCCCACTCTAAAAATGCATTCGGGAACCCTCCTGCTACTCCCTGGGCTCACCTGAGCATCACTTGGAGCACTTCATTAACAAAGATGCTCCATCCAGAGCAGTTGACCAGCTCTATAAGGGAGCACACAGCTGTTTTCATTTCTTAAAACTCCTCAAGTGATCTAACAGGAACCTGGAGGGGAACCATCTAGGATAAATGAGCATGCAGATCCCTTGGAGATCGGGGCCTCACTCTAAATTATGGTTCTGCAGGTCAGCAGTGGCGCCCATGAAATGACATCTTTAACTAGTTCCTTCCTGGTGCCTGCACTGCTCCCCCAGCGTTCATTTCAGCAGCACTGGATGGCAGATATCAGACCCAAGCACACCAGAGACTTCTGGGCACTGTGAGGCCTTGAAGCAAAAACTTCTAGAATGGTAGGCTCCCTGGGCAGATTCCCAGAGACAGAACTTGTCCTGGAATGGGCATGGCCACACCTATGTCCATTGAGCAGGGGGACCAAAGGGAGAAATAGGCACAATTAACAATCTGTGCTAGGAAGGAACGGCCGCCTTTGCAAATGATGCCATAAATGCAGACTTGATGATACACAGAGGAAATCATAATATATGTTTGATAATAAAGCAGAGTATAACTGAATTCAGAATTTTTTCTTTGTTCTTTGTGTGTGTGTGTTTTATAAATTGTCAAGACCCAATTGTAGTACCCAGCTACAGATTTATGATATATATTTTCTTCTGTTTTTATAAAGATTTTATTTATTTATTTTTAGAGAGGGGAAGAGAGAGAGAAAGAAAGGGAGAGAAATATCAATGGGAGAGAGAATTATTGATCATTTGCCTCTCCCACAGCCTCATCTGGGGAACTGGCCCGCAACCCAGGCCTGTGCCCTGACTGGGAATTGAACCGTGACCTTTAGGTTTGCATGCCGATGCTCAATCCACTAAGCCACACTTGCCAGGGCTTCTCCCATTTTTAAAGTGCACTAATCAAGGTACATTTTTTTAAAGCCTAGTTTTGCAATATGTTTTCAGAGCTTTCAATCTTTTAAAATGAAAAGTGTTTCATAATCCACATACCACTGTAGTTTAATTTTGAAACATTTTTTAGAGCAGTTTTACATTCAAAGGAAAAAAGAGAGTAAAAATCTTTCCCAAAGTAAATGTTTCTAATATAGTGTGTCACTAATATGGAGCCCTGGCCAGGTCACTGAGTTGGTTAGAGTGTTGTCCCACTGCCCAAGATGGGAGTTCAATCCCTAGTCAGGGCATATAAAAGAAGCAAACAATGAATGTATAAATAAGTGCAACAACAAATCTCTTTCTCACTCCCTCCCTGCCCTTTCCTCTAGCTCCCTCTCTCTCTGTATCTTTCTAAAAATAGATAAATAAATAAACACCTAAATACATAAATAAAATATGGCAGAATCTTTTACAACAGAAATTTTACATATTCTAGTTTACTAAATTAAAGCTACAATTCCTCATACTTCTCATACTTCCTTTATCCATCTTTTGATGTCCACTGACAAAAATAAACCACTTTAGGTATTTTACTCAGAATGTTGAGGTGATACACATGAGCCCAGCTGGAGCTCAGCAGCAAGGGGCCATGATGTAGATGCCACCTGAGGCAAGGTAGGAAAGGGACAAGTCCCTGATCTCTTCTACCCTCCCCAGTCTCTGCCAACCTCCCTGGGCCTGTATCTGCCCAAACAAGAGTAGGCTGGAGGGTGGCCCTCTGTCCACTGCAGAGCAGGTGACAGGTGAACAATGGGTCAGATAAATTACAACCAAGTGAGGGGCAGAGATTCTGAGACAGAAAAACCACTGCCAAATATACCCTCCAGGTGGGCCACTTACACAAAATTAAGACCTAAACGTTCTCTCTATACTGCTGATCTGTCCCACGGGAAGTGTGACATATTCTCTTTCCTGGTAAATCCTAGGGCTACGTTATTTTCCATGACTCTGGAGTCAGGGTCTGCCTTAGGTGGCCTCTTGCCTCCTAGTTTTCTCAAGAAACATAATCCCTCAATATGCTCAGGGTCTGCTTCCTCCTGCACTGTGAAATGACAAGTGAGGGCTTCCCAAAGGTTGGACCACAGGGGTTACAATGACAAGTCACAGTAAAATAAAGTACGCTCTTTAAAAATAGCTTCCGCCCTAGCTGGTGTGCCTCAGCGAATTGAGTGTCAGCCTGTGAACCAAAGGGTCGCCAGTTTGATTCTCAGTGTAGGGAACATGCCTGGGGTTTGGGCCAGGTTCCCAGCAGAGGGAGGGGCACGAAATGCAACCACGCTTTGATGTTTCTCTCCCTTTCTTTCTCCCTCTCTTCCCCTCTCTAAAAATAAATATAATCTTTAAAAAAAGAAACTTCCTTAAAAATGAAATCACTATCCCAAAAGAGATGTGCACCGCCACATTCATTGCAGCATCAGTTACAAAAGCCAAGACAAGGATGCAACCTAAGTGTTTACCATCACACAAAGAAAGGGGTATATATGTAATTATGTATCTTTACCTATAAATATAGGTGCCAGATTTTAAATTTCCATATGTATACAGAGTGGGACAGAAGCAGGTTTGTAGTTGTTCATATTAAAAAAAATGCAGGTTATGATGATTAAAATAGCTTTATTACCTCTGTGTTTTGCTTACTTCCAACTGTTAACCTACTTTTGCTCCACCCTGAATGGAACCATACACACACACACACACACACACACACACACACTTCAATGTATATGTATATGGAATAGTATATATGGGATATTATATAAAATATCTCCATATATGAAATGTTATATGGAATACTATATACATAGTATAGAATATACTGTATACAGTATACTATTGAATACTATATATAAATATATATAATACTATTGAGGAATAAGAAGGAAATCCTGCTGTTTGTAACACCTGAAAGGACCTTGGGGGCATTATGATAAATGAAGTCAGGCAGCCCCGGCTGGTGTGGCTCAGTGGTTTGAGTACTGACCCATGAACCAGAAGGTCACTGGTTCGATTCCCAGTCAGGGCACATGCCTGGGGTGCAGGTCAGATCCCCAGGTGGGGACGTGTGAGAGGCAACTGAGCCATGTATCTTTCACATCAATGTTTCTCTCCTCTTTCCCACTCCCTTCTCCTCTCTCCAAAAATAAATAAATAAAATCTAAAATAAATAAGTGAAGACAGGCAGGGAAAGACACATACTACATGACTTCACTTATGTATAAAATCTAAAAAAAACAACCTCTGAAACAGTGATCAGATTCAAGGTTGCCTGATTGAAGAGGGGTGGGTGAGGGTACTGACAGTGGCCAAAAGGCATAAATGTCCACAAATGTCCACTTACAAGAGAAAGAGTTCCTGGGATGTAATGCACAGCATTAACATACTGTACTGAACTGTACTCCCCCCTTATCTTTGGTTTCACTGTCCCTGGTTTCAATTACACACTGTCAACCAAGGTCTGACATGTTAAATAGAAAATTTCAGAAATTAACAATTCAAAAGATATTTTGAGAGAGACAGTATTCAGAGAACTTTAGTTACAGTATGTTGTTATACTAGTTCTACTTTATTATTAGTTAATTTTGTTAATTTAGTTGTTAATTTTCCTCTGTGCCTGATTTACAAAGAAAACTTCATCATAAATGTGTATGCATAGGAAAAAATCATAGTATATAAAGGGTTCAGGACTACCTGAGGTTTCAGGCATCCATGGGAGTCTTGGAGCATATTCTCTAATGATAAAAGGAAATACTCCACTGTATCTTTAAAAATTGCTAAGAAAGTAAATCTTGAAGTTCTCAACGCTAGAGAAAAACTAACCATGTCAGATGACTTTCAATAAACTTATTGTGGGAATCATATCACAATATATATGGATATCAAGTTATTATGTTAAACAGCTTAAAATTATTCAGTGTTATATATGTCAATTAAAATGAGAAAATATTTTAAAATCTTAGTGACACTTAAAAACTTGAAAAATAAAAATAATTATTTAGTAAAATAATGACCACTCCCTTCAGATAATTTTATCGTAAATAAAGTCAAAAAGAAATTAAATTTAAAAAATTAGGAGGGTAAAGGGATAAAAATTGAGACAACTGTAATAGAATAAACATGATTTATAAATTAAAAAAAAGAAAAAAATTAAGTGGCCGTCTCATTTTCTCCACATATGATAACCATTAACCAAGGGGTGTTCCACCCTTGACAAAAGAGAGAGGAAACTGGCTGGGGTTTGGAACAGCTGGATTTTATTGAAGGACAATTTACAGGCATGTTTACCTATGAGAATAGGGGCTAGATTTTAAATTTTAATAAAAATGTAACCAATGGTGAATTAAATTATAGTAAACATATTTCATGAACGGTGCATGAATGCCTTAAGTTTTATTAAATGCTTTAAAATGTGGCTTTTTACATTTACAATTTTAAATAAAATGCATCTCTGAGCACCCTTAAAACATCTTCCAAATTGGTCAAACCTTTTCCTACTCAAAAATCACCCATTTCAAATCCCTCCATTGTGTAGGGCAGAGGCACAGTAAAACACTTTGATGCATTTTCTAGAAGCTTGTCCAGATTTGAGTGTTCATATATTATATATAATTGGTATGTCTTAAACTTTCACATCTCATAAATAATTAATCCCAGATTTAAAAGTCACACAAAACTCCTAGGTTATTGCACATTCTTTTTAATACTTAATATCACCTACTACTCCATTCTTTTTTGTTTTCCAGATGACCCACAGATAATGTTTTATTGTTGTTACTGTTTTACTATGGTAAGAATTCTTAACAGGAGATCTGCCCTTTCAATGAAATTTTAGGTGCACAATATAATAGCGTTAACTATAGGCACACTGTCATACAGCGGATCCCTAGAACTTACCTTTTGTATCTTAAACTCTGTACCCTCTGAACAGCAACTCCCCATTTCCTGTCCCCCCAGCCTCTGGCAACACCAGTCTAATCTTTGCTCCTGTGAGTTTGACTATATTACTGGATTTCTAAACCTGGATTTGTACATTAAAAATACTTATTATGGCCTTGGCCAGTGTGACTCAGTTGGTTGAGTGTTCCCCCACAAAGTGAAAGGTTGCCGGTTCGATTCCCCATCAGGCACAAGTGTGGGTTGCGCATTTAGCCCCTGGACAGGGCCCATACAAGAGGCAACTGATCAATGTTTCATTCTTACATCAATATTTCTCACCCTCTCTTTTTCCCTACCGTTTCCTCTTTCTATAAATAAATAAATAAAATCTTAAATAAAGACTTATTACCTGTAAGTCTGAAAATGTATAAAATAGTCATACTAATTAATTTACAGGGAGATGTGATTAAATTAATACAGATAAGTCCCAAAATTTGATAGCATCCAACATAATTATTATGAAAGTAATAAAAAAACCAAATTACTGGAACACTGCACATTCACTATGATAAATCCTTATGGCTGCCATGGATCTCCACGGTTAAATTTATATTTTTATTGCTTTATCATCCATCTGTTCACTTAAATATTTGAATTGTTTAAATTAAACTATTATATTATTTAATGAGCACTAAATAGTCAGCTCAGCCAATAAATTAGATGAGAGTCTTATCACCCACACTGAGCTCACAAAGAGAAATAAACAAATTGACAGATAAGCATGAGAAACATTTGTCTAATTATAAAATAAAATGTAACCTTTCCTTTGTGCCTGACACTGTCTCAAGTTCTTTCACTCATGTAATTTTTGTGACAACCTTGGGAGGTAGGCATAATGATTGTCCTCATTACAGATGAGAAGATGGAGGCACGGAGAGCCAGCAGCCTGCCCAAGGTCAACACTACAGCCAGCACCAGGAAGCGTCTCTTTTTCTTTGGCCAGGCCCCTGTCCTCAATCATCCAGCCTCCTCTCTGCCCTCAGATTCCTCCACCCTGCTGTCCTCAAAGGGTCCCAGGGCCTTGGAGGCCACAGCCCTGACAGCTGCTCTGGCCCATCAGCCGCTCCCACTGCTGCTGGCTGCTGCCTACACTGGGGGAAAAAAGATGAAAGGATGCCCTAACCGAGGGAGCAGGTGAGCCAGCAGGTGCTGGGCAGAGGGGCTTGGGAAGGCTGAGGGTGACGGCCAGAGGCCCCAGTCACCCAACTCTGGCTGACCCTAGACTTTGCTGGGGGGAGGGTCGCAAGGGGAGTCATGAAGGGTTTGAGCAGAGGAGGGGGTAGGTCAACTCTGGATGCAGGAAGACCCTTCTGGGGGTCAACAAGGGGATCAGACTGGAAGAGACTGGAGGCCCAAGAAGAGGCTGGGTGAAGGTCCAGGGGAAGATGACAAGGCTCAGCCAGCCTGGGACCATAGGGATGGAGCAGAGGAAAGGGTCAGAGTCAGGGGTCAGGGATCAGAAGGGACAGGGCTGGAGACTGACAGTCTTAGAGGATGGAAAAGAGGCCTTGTTTGTGGCCTTTTTCATAGTGGACAGTGGGGAACCTGGAGGAGGAGGGAGATTAGGGAGTGAGCTCAGTGGGGACCTGTGGGTGTGAGGGGCCCCCATGCAGATATTTGGATGCAGGAGTCTGCAAGCCTGGAGACAGTGGTCTCCTGGAGCAGAGGACGGCATGGCCTGTGAAAAGCCCTCCAGGTGTGAAAAAGCTCAGGGTGTTCCAGTACCTTCTGCTAGCCTGGGTGGATGGATGGGAGTTTCAAAATTCCACACACACCAGGCAAGGGAGCTGAAACTGTCTGACCAGAGCAGCAGCAAAAAATGGGGCACGTGTGATGGGGGAAAGAACCTGGGACCCAGAGTAGGGATAGGGGGCAGGTAGGTGGTTTGGAAGGAAGATGGGAGCTGCCACTAGATTCTGGACAGGCCCAGAGAGATCTAATCAGAAACATTTTGCAGTAATCACCTCAGTGACACAGGCCTTGTGCCCAGGCTTTCCACAAATTCACTCACTTGAGAAGCAGGTGCCATTATTATCCCCATTTCACAGGGGCTGAAATCAAGGCACAGAGAGGTAAATAAGTTTGCCAAAAAAGTCACACAGCTTGTACTCAAAAACAAAGATTTGATTCTGGGTTGGGGGGCGTGGGAAGGGTGGGCAGGGCAGGTTCCAATATCTGTGCCTTTCATTTTTGTGCTTCAGTTTCCTTATTCGTACAAAAGTTGCTGATAATAGTCCTCTCATGATAGAGTTGTTTGTTACCAGGTTATGTAAAGACACACAAACATTTCCTTCCTCTTTTCCAGGATATCATAACATTTTATTCAAAAAGTATAAAATGATGAACTGATGAAATGATAGATTTTAATGAACAATTTGGAAAAAAGTTAACTTTGGAGATATGCTGATCAAATCACTTCACCATGAATAGATGAGCTTTGTGGGAACCAGGTTCCAGGTCACTCCAGGCCATTCTTCAATATTTACAGAAAATGGATAAAAGGGGACAGCTCCTTTGTGGCTCACAGTCATTAATTCAACAAATCACTTATAAAGGGAAGGAAAAAGCTGTGCAACATTAGACAAACTCATGAAACTAGGTTCTGACTATTAAGATCATTGACATCCTTACCAAGTGCACAGCGCAACAGCCTGATGTTACTCACTAAATAGCAGTGGGTGTTGCAACATAGGATAAACAGCAGAAAGGATGCAAGGCTCAGAATCTAAATTAGATACAACATATTTAACATGGAAAACGATTTGGGATTTTTCTTTTAATGTGATGAATTCTAAAGTTTGAAAAATGTTGAGACTATATTTAAGAAAGAACAGTAAGAGCTGATTATGAGATGTCACAAAGCTTGTTTCAGAAGTGAATGACAATGTAAAAAAAAGATACTTAACAAATTAAGATTCATTTCAATATGTTTTTATAAGATAAAGTAAATGTGAGAAACAGAAAAATGTAAATTCATTGGAGAGAAAAAAGAAGACCCAAAGTTTTCAGGACTCCCTGAAAGAATCATGGGGTGACAGACTCAGTCATTTCTTGTCCCAGGTCACCTGCCTCTTGCCATCCCAGGAAATGAGAAGGGACACTCTACTGACGGACAAGTCTCTCCCCTCTGAGTGAATAATGGTTGTAAATGGAAGCCATCTGGTGATGCAAAGAATTATAAAACAAACAAATCTTACATATGAAAGTTTTGTAATTCCAATTCAAATCTGTTTAACAGGAACGATTCAGTAACAGCCGGTAGCTCACAAATTAATCATCCACATCCCATCAGCTCACCATTCTTCACATCTGGTTCGCCTTCTTCTTCTGCTACTTATATTTCTGTGTATGGATGTTTGTCTCTTCCCTGTTCCCGAACTGTTGTCCCTTCCTGTGTTTCCCCTTCCGCCTCATCTGCTTTTCCTCCTCCTTTCTCTATTTCTGTACCTACACCTGTTCCGAGAATCTCATGAAACCTATTTCACCTTCAATTGCGCTTTCTCCCTGATGTTTCTAATTGCTCCCATCTCCATAAACCTCTGCGTCTGTCTCCCTTTGCTCCCAAGCCTGTGTCCCCTCTGCGGCCTCTCTTACAAGTCTTTCCTGTCACCCCTGCCGCCAGCTGGCTGACTCTCAGTGCTGTTTGTCCCTCTCATCCGTCACCTCAAACCCCTTTCGGTTCCTGCTCTCGCTCCCCCAACTCCTCTCCTCAGAACCACTCCCTCCGTCTGAAGCGCCTCGCCCGTTGCCGCTCCCGCGTCCGTTCACAGGCCCCCCTCCCTGTCAACTCCCCTCGTCTCTCTGGGACTCCTCCGTTTCCTCAGCATTTCTTCCCTGTCTTCCTTCTCCGCCTCCTTCCCCCAGTTACCCTTTCACTCCTACATCGCGGTCCAGTCCCTCTCACATCCCCTGCGTGGCCGTCTCTTAAGGCCCCTCACGGACCTTTTTTTCCCTTCACGTGTCCGTCTCTCTCATTCCGGCTCCGGATCCCCTCACAGCCTCGTTCCACCGCTTTCCCGGCCGCCCCTTCGCCGTCACCGCTTCCTCAAAGACCCTCCCCGCGTGGGGCAGATCACCTCTCCTGGGGACACCGTGTTCTCCCGTCCTAAGTCCCACCCCATGGAAAGTGTGCTCTTCCTGGGATTCGAGGGGGAAGGTCTGCAGATCCCCAGGCCGGGGCGCAAGCAGGCTCCGAAGGCCGAGAGCTGTGACGAGTGGGGAGGTGCGCAAAAGGTTTGACTGCATCTCCCGAGACTTTAAACAAAGCGGGGTGGAAGGGCTGCCCAGGGAACACTTTTAAGCAGATAAATCAAGCGGCAGGCGGAGTCCAACGGCCCGAAGGCGGAGACACCTCGGGCGGGACTGCCTCAGAGTTTCTCTGAAACGAACGCTGACCCTCCACCCGGCAGCAAAGGGGTCAGGGCAGCGACGTGGTCACGGCTGGGGAATCTCGAGGGGACCCGGACTCACCGCTGTAGGAGGTGCACGTTCGGGTATTTCAACGCCTGTAGTGACCCTCAGGCTTTACGCGTATAGAAATGTGGACTGAGAAGCTCAGATTTCAATCAGCAGTATTGAAACTAGAAAGGCCAGCGTACCCCTCCACACTCCACAGCCACTTCCGGGTCTCTAAGAATCTGCGGGTGCGCGCTGCCTGAGAGGCGGGATCAAGGGTGTGTCCTGGGCCCTCAGATTCCAGTGAAGAGGCGTGAATGGCGGCCGGGCTAGGGCGCAGACGGCGGCAGGGTGGGGAAGGGCGATGTAGGGTGGGGGCCTGGACGTATCCTTGCTCTTAGAATGTGTCTATTTTCTGAATGTCGGAACCTGTTCTATTTCATTTCTGTCATGTGAGCTGAGCGCCTTTCTCCGTGTTTTAAGTTGATGTTCCAAATAGTTTAAGGTAAATGCTTAGAGTTGGGTGCGCCATGTTATGTTGAAAGCGGAGATGTCTAACAGGTGAAAACTATTTTTGCAAAGATGGGGCAAAGGTTGGATCCAGAAATGACTGTCACCTGCAATTTAAATTTAATTCATTGCAGCATTATGTACACTAGCCAAGATTTAGAAGCAGCCCAAGAGTCCATTAGTAAGTAGATCAGTGGATTAAAAAGCTGTGGTTGGCAGAAAAGTCTGTACAGTTTTTCCATACAATGGCTCTACTAGTGCTTAACTGTCTTTAACTTCATTTTAAACAATTTTGTTAGACTGTATTGTGACAGCTGTCATATCAACATTCACTTAAAAAACATCAAAATTGGTGAATTTTTGTGCAGCCATTTTAATATTGAAGACCGCAGGAGATGTGCAACATTTTCATTGTATTATGGCTTTATTATTTCAAGAAAGGTAAAAACGCAACTGAAACACACAGACACAAGACTTGCACGGAGTACAGAGAAGGTGCTGTGACTGACCAAACGTGTCAAAAGTGGCTTGCGAAATGTCTTGGGACTACTGACATTTTGGCCAAATAATTATTTGTTATGGGGCTTCGTGCACTGGCAGATGTTTTAGCCCTGGCCAGTGTGGCTCACTGGTTTTGATGGTTAGAGAGTTGTCCCTTAACCGAAAGATTGCAGGCTTGATTTCCACTCGCAACTCATGCTTCGCTTGCAGATTCATTCCTGATCAGGATGTGAGCTCAAGCCACACCTGGTCCAGACATGTACCATCCGCGGTCCCAGCACAGATCCTGTCTTGGTGCAGAGACAACCAATCCATGCTTCTCTCTCATTCATGTTTCTCTCTCTCAAGAAACAAATGAAAACGTCCTTGGGTGAGGATTAAAAAAAAAGTTTTAGCAGCACTCCTGGCCTCTACCCATTAGAAGCCAATAGCAGGAGATAGCCAACATACTCAAAATATCCAAATTAATAAAGTTATTAGTGAAAATGGGAAATGTGTCTTTACAGGAAAAAAACTACAGACTTTTTGGCCAACCCAATGCTACTTCACAGTAAAAAGAAGAGACGAGATGAGACAAGAGAAATCTTACCCTTTGCAGCAGCATGGATGGACCTGGACAGCATTGTGTAAGGGAAATAAGCCAATCAGAGAAAGAAAAATACCATGTGATTTCACATATATGTGGAACCTAATAAAATAAACTAACAAAATAGAAACTGACTCATAGAGAACAGACTGATAGCTTTCAGCAGGGAAGGGGTAGTAGGGCGCCTGAGTGATCAATGTGAAGGGATGAAGAAAAAAGAACAAAACACCGCCCCATAGAGAGACAACAGTATGGCGATTACCAGAGGGAGAGTGGGGTGGGGGAAGGTAAGAGAGGGTCAAGAGCGGATAATTGGTAATGGAAGGATACTCGACTTGGGGTGGTGAACACTTTACAATATACAGATGATGTGTAGAATTGTACCCCTGAAACCTGTATAATTTTATTAGCTAATTCCATCCCAATAAATTCAATTAGAAATAATTAATCAAGAGTGCAGTTGTTTGTGCAGGAGAGGCAGACTTGAATGAGGAAATCAAATTGGCTGAGGCATGTGATAATTCAGGTCAGCAACCATTCTTTAGGGGAGAAAAAGCAAGAACTTTTACTTCATTTTTTTAAAAAGACTTTATTTTGAGAGGGAAAGGGAGAAAAGAGAGGGAGAGACGCATCAATGCCCAAGAGAAACACCCATCAGGGGTGCCTGGTCTGCAATGCAGGCATGTGCCCTGACCAGGAATTGAACCGGTGACCTTTTGGTTTATGGGATGACACCCAACCAACTGAGCCACACCAGTGATGGCTGACTCAGTTTATTTCTTGGCTCCATATATCAACAATGCTGCAGCTCATTTGTATAATGATTAGTAAAGAACTGACTTTGGATAGAGCTTCCCAATGAAACAGAACATCCAGTGAGACTAGCAGACTCACCTGTGTCCCTCAGGGATCACAGTACTTCCTGCTGTTCTCAGACCTCAATACTTCCTGCTGTTCTCAGTGGGAGACCCTGTCTTCCTCCAGGGACCATGGACAAAAAAGGATCCTCTCACAAACACTGTAATAGTATTCTAGTGCCCAAGAGGGTGATGTCAGCATTATTGCAGAATATGAAGCCCAGAATCCTTCCCCCAATAGATGCACTGATTCAACAACAATAAACAGATGAATTCCTTTGGTGATATATCCAGAAACTAGATGAGGGGATTTTGCACTCTCGGTGACTATAAAACCAGCCACAATGAGGCCAGTGGAAAAGTTTTGGACTCCTTCTTGCATTAATCCCTATCTCTGGCACTGCTCCATGATTGGAAGGAAACCTTCAGCTTCCGGCTTCCCCCTGAGCAAAGAAAGGGTAGGACCACACATCTAAAATTCCATCTTTTCTGGGGGGTTCTCAGAGAATTGGTTTGTCTTGCCTGTCTCAGAGTGCTGATGGAACTTTGCTTACTCTAGAGGCACAGAGGCTAGTGGGAACAGAGAGGTTTAAATGAGCATACAAGCAGCCACCATAACCCCAATGATTTTTTTTGTAGAAATGGAAAAGCCCATCATAAACTTCATATGGAATCCAAATAACCAAGACGATCTTTTTTAAAAAATTGATTTTAGAGAGAGAGGAAGGGAGGGAATGGGGGGAAAGGAGAAAGACAGAAGCATCATTTTGTTGTTCCACTTATTTATGTATTCATTGGCTGTTTCTTGTATGTGCCCTGGCCGGATATCAAACCTGCAACCTTGGCATATCTGGATGAAGCTCTAACCAACCTGGCCAGGGCCCAAAACTATCTTGAAAAAGAACAAATTGGAAGGACTCATACTTCTTGATTTCAAAACTTAACTACAAAGCTACAGTAATCAAAGCACTGTGGTATTGGCATAAAGACAGACATACATCCAATGAAATTAAAAAAGAAAAAAGAATTCAGCAATAAATCCTCACACATATTGTCAAGTGATTTTGGCAAAAATGCCAAGTCTACTCATTGGGGAAAGGACAGTCCTTTCAACAAATGGTTCTGTGTAAACTGGATAGCCACATGCAAAATAAAGATTCTTTTATTTAAAATAGAGCCCTGGCTGATGTGACTCAGTGGGCTGAGCATTGGTCTGCGAACGCCAGGTCACCAGTTTGATTTCCAGTCGGAGCACATGCCTGTGTTGCAGGCCAGCTCCCCAGTTGGGGATGTGAGAGAGGTAACCGATCAATGTATCTCTCCCTCTCTTCCCCTTCTTTAAAAAATAAATAAAATCTTTTTATTTTTAAAAAGGAATTAAGTTGGACCCTTATCTTACCCTATATACTTAAATTAACTCCAAATGGATTAAAGACCTAAATGTAAAACCCGGAGCAGTAAAACTTTTCATAGAAAACAGAACGAAAGATTCATGACATTAGATTTGACAGTCATTTCTTGTACATGACACCAGAGGCACAGGCAACAAAAGGAAAAGTAGACAAATTGGACTTCATAAAATTTAAAAGCTTTAGTGCATCATAAGACACCCACATACTGGGATAAAATATCTGCAAATCATATACCTGTATATAGAGATTTCCTAAAACTGAATTATCAATTAAAACTAAAACAAAAACAGAAACAAACCAATTCAAAAATTGGCGAAGGACTTGAACAGTAATTTCTCCAAAGAAGATATATAAATGGTGAATAAGCACATACAAAGATGCTCAAGATCACTAATTGTTAGGGCAATGCAAATCAAAACCACAATGAGATTCTACCTCACACCTGTCAGGATGGCTACTATCAAAAAACAGAAAACAAGTATTGACAAGGATGCAGGGAAATTGAAACCCTTGTGCACTGTTGGTAGAAATGTAAGATGGTGTAACCACTGGAAAACAGGATGGTGGTTCCTCAGAAATTTAAAAATAGAATCACTATCTGATTCAGCAGTTACATTTTTTAGTATACAAGTATATACGAAAGAACTGAAAGCAGGATCTCAAAGAACGTTTATACAGCCATAGAAGCATCATTCACAATAGCTAAAGCATGGAAGCAACCCAAATGCCCACTGACGGATAACTGAAGTGAAATGTGACACATATATACAATGGAGTATTATTCAGCCTTGAAAGAAAGGATATTCTACAATATAATGCAGCATGAATGAACATTATACTAGGTGAAATAAGTCAGCCACAGACTGACAAGTATGATTCCACTGATATGAAATACTTAGTCAAAATCATAGAGACAGAAAATACAGTGGTGGTTTCCAGGGGCTGGAGGGAGAAAAAGGAAGTTACTGAGTTTTGTTTAATGGGTACAGTTTGTTTTACAAGATGAAATGACTGAAGGAGCTGGATGGTCGTGATAGTTGCATATTATGGAGATTATTTCATACGACTGATTTGTACACTTCAAAATGGTTAAGATAGTAAATTTTATGTGTATTTTACTTAAAAAAGAATTTTCAGGGGACTTGTGAAAATGAGAAAATCTAATAAAGACCCAACTCCAGAACCTGGCTCATGGGCTTTCCTCTCAATATTTAAGGCTCCCTCAATGCCTTAAACAGTACATGTGTGTGCGAGAGCGGGGTTACAGGCCTTGAAGAGCTGAGGTTTCCCCATTCAGCCTCCAGGAAAGGAAAAAGACTAGTAGCTCCCCATGTCACACTATTAGGAACTAGCAGTTTAGGTAG